AATTATCTGTCAAATTCTTCCCTTAACCAGGAAAATATTACACAACTATGTGTTGCCGCTGAGTATTAAAGTGAAAAGGGTACCAATAAGTAAAGAATCCAAGTGGCAGCTTCATGATTGTGGTAAAAACAATAATGATTGTAATAATGCTGATCTTGATATCTGCTCAATGAATTGTAAATTGTGTATATAACATATTTATTTCATTTTCAGGGTTACAGGGGACAAAGCAGCTCATCGAAGCAATTTTGTGCACATTCTATGTAAAATTCAATTTAATTAACTGTAACACAAGTCTCTTGTTGTGAATCAAAAGGTTAAAATGCAGTCTCAAGAAATTTGCATGTTCTTCTATGTGGTCATTATGAGGATACACTTTCTAAGAATAACAAACAAACAAAATTGTCAACTGATTTTCTCTTATTGAGTACACTCTGTGATATAAACAAATAAAATTATAACAAAATACATGTAATGATGTAAAACAATATTGACTACATCATTTAACAATACTGACTTGGTTCAACGTCAAACCTAAAAAAAAACACATGTGAATAATGTTAAACAATATTGACTAGATCATTAAACAATACTGACTTGGTTCAAAGTCAAACCTAAAGAAAAACCCATGTAATTATGTAAAACAAAATTGACTCGATCATTAAACAATACTGACTTGGTTCAACGTCAAACCTAAAAAAACAAAACATTTAATTATGTAAAACAATATTGACTTGGTTCAATGTCAAACCTAAAAAAATACATGTAATGATGTAAAACAATATTGACTAGATTATTAAACAATACTTGCTTGGTTAAAAAAATTATGAATTTTCAGTCACTTACAGGCACATTATGTGTATGAAAGATTAATAATTCTGTCGAAAGTGCAAAAATGAGTTTAAATATGTTGTAATATGGATTTATATCATATGAGATGCTTATCATCTGATAAAAATACCTTTGAATATAAAATCATTGTGATAAAGCAAGTAAATTAATACAAAATACTAATTAACTTTTACTGTACTAAACCTAAGCAAAAAGGAAACTAAAAATGGTTCAGAAATATGACCAATAAGTAACTTTTGGAAAGTGCAAAATGGACATTAAAAATAACTAAGCTTTGAAAAAATAAAGTGATAGCCTTAAAATAACAAGACTTTGAAAAAAATAATGATAGCATTGTTAGGCTTAATTGGCTTTTACAGAGTTGAAAATTTACACATGTTTATTCCTTGTTCAGTGTCATAGCAGGGCCTTCTGGGATTTTATCTAACATTACAGAAAGTTTTTGAAAATTACTCTCAATATCTGGGTGAAATATAATAAAGTTGCATGGCAACACAACCCCACATCTTTCAGAACTTGGAGCCGGTTGGAAACTCTGAGTGGGCTCACGGGTAACTTCAGCTTCGATATGTCCTTTGTCCATAATGGTACGAAAAAAACCAGCTATCCCTCGTGGAACATGGCTAATTGGAAGTCCTGCTACATCTCGCAACCGTAGCTGGCGTTTTTGGTCAGTGACACTATCATGTAACAATGTTTGGAATGACTCAAGTGGCGGCAACACACCAAGCAGGCATCAGTATCATGGATATTTGTATATTCAGGCTCTACAGTTAGACATTCTGAGGCCAAAGCCTCTCTGGGCCATCTCACTTAACCACTCAGCCATAGATCTTTCTTCCTGTTCATTGAAAACAGTAGCAGGACCTTTCATAGTGTTCATGTCTGTTTCCCCACTGTATCTCCTTTGCAAAAACCCGTATGACAGTCCATGGTCACATGCAGCTTTTCTTAGTGACATACTCTTGTTACACACTGTATAGGGCTCGTCTCACTCTCTGCACTTTCCCAGGACTCATTCGCTTCCCTCTGTATTTTTTTACCACTGAGGAGGCTGCATTCTGGGCTGGACTACATTGAACACTTTTTCTCTTTCCCTTAGGCATTAGAATCTGAAACAATAAAACAAGTAAACAAATGAGCTTGTCATGTCATGATGTGAGTTATGACAAAGAACAATAACCAAAAGTGCGGGGGGTGATTACAAAAATATTCATGCTAGAGTGATTAATCTATCACATGTGATGTGTGTGATAATAAGTAACAAACATTTGAAGATAAAAGTAGATACCACAAGAAATGAAGAAGTAATAAAAATAATAATAATAAAAAAAAATTGTTATTAAATTTTAAACAAAATTCTAAGCTCAATTGGGAAATTATTCTGTAAAACTAGAAATGTGTCATCATGCCACGGATGCCCCCGCATGCAGCCAAAATTTCAGATGGTGCATTAATTATTTTTTTCATTTTAAGTTCAAAGCCCTTAAAACTTTTCAATGTTAACACAAACCATTTTCATACAATGTTCAAGGCACTGAAATTATTCAGTCTTAACCTTTTAGAAATAGCATATTGCATATTTGTAGCCAAAATAATGGCTAAAAGAATGAGTGGTGAAACTGAAAGTTCAAAATTTTTCCAACATTCAGGAAAGATAAGTTTGTCTAAAATCATTGAACCATGACCAAATTCCAACTTAAACTGCTTATTCCTAAGATGTATCTATATTATTTTCAAAGTGAAAGGGACATAACTCTGCCAAAAAATCATCAAACCATGACCAAATTCCAACTTGACCTGCCCATTCCTTTGACATATCCATATGTCAAATTAAAGTTGAATATGTGACACTGTTGGGTAGATAATGAACAGAAACTGTAAATTTCATATTATTTTCAAAGTGAAAGGGACATTACTCTACCAATAATCATTGAACCATGACCAAATTTGAACTTGACCTGCGCATTCCTTTGACGCATCAATATGTCACGTTTGAGTTGAATGTGTTGTACCATTGGGGAGATAATAAACGGAAACTGAAAATTTCATATTACTTTCAAAGTGAAAGGGGCATAACTCTGCCAAAAATCATTAAACCATGACCAAATATGAACTTGACCTGCGCATTCCTTTGACGCATCCATATGTCACGTTTGAGTTGAATGTTTTGTACCTTAAGGGAGATAATGAACGGAAACTGAAAATTTCATATTATTTTCAAAGTAAAAGGGGCATAACTCTGCCAAAAATCATCGAACCATGACCAAATTCGAACTTGACCTGTATTTTTTCATGACATATCAATATGTCAAGTTTGAGTTGATTGTGTTGTACCATTGGGGAGATAATGAACAGAAACTGAAAATTTCATATTTTTTCAAAGTAAAAGGGGCATAACTCTGCCAAAAATCATCGAACCATAACCAAATTCGAACTTGACCTGTATTTTCTCATGACATATCCATATGTCAAGTTTGAATTGAATGTGTCCAACCATTCTTAAGATAATGAACGGAAACTGAAATTTCATATTATTTTCAAAGTAAAAGGGGCATAACTCTGCCAAAAATCATTGAACCATGACCAAATTCGAACTTGACCTGTATTTTCTCATGACATATCCATATGTGAAATTTGAGTTGAATATGTCCAACCGTTCTTAAGATAATGAACGGAAACTGATGATGACGGAATGACAGAATGACGGAAGGACGGAAGGACGGAATGACGGAACAGGGTAACACTATATGCCCCGGCCATTACATGGCGGGGGCATAAAAATGTGTGCTAAAGTAATAAATTTTGTCACACATCCTGTGGGTGATGATAAAAAACATGTATTTGAAGTTTAAAATGGATAACTTAAAAATAAAGAAGTTACTGTACAGTTAAAAATAATATTTTAGAATCTAGTCTAGAACAATACAGTAGTATTTCAATGTTGCAGCAGTTTATACTACATAAAACACCATATTTTAGCATGGACTGCATAATTCACTTGCAATAATAACATAAATAAATTAAATTTTATATTTATTTGTATACAAACCAAAATTTGCTTTAAAAAATATTTTCTAAAACCTGTTGAATAACTTTGAGGCGGTCCCTTCCTGGAAAATTACATGACCCGCTATTGGGCAACGTGATGCAATTTAATTGACCAGCGCTATCACTATAATTCCTCATGCATTTTTTAAACGGCTGCTGCTGCAGATAGTTAACATATTGGGCATCAAATACCTACCAGCTTTGATCTAATATCTTTTGGGGTTTTTCAGCAATAAAGCAGCGACTGCGAATTTGTGTTGTTACTGGCGCAATATTTCGCGACAAACGGAAACGCTTGGTAAAGCATCTGAATGAATCTGATTAGAATTATCCGGATGTTTACATTTTTTTTTTCGCTGTCGAGGAGCTAACATCCAAATGCACATGACTGTTAGGTTATAACACTTTTAAGTTCAAAACATTAAGTAAAATAATTTATTAAATTACTGACTGACCCGTTATTGGCTATGATCCGCTATTGGCTAACTCACTGTATGTGTTTATAACATATTTTAATTGACCGTGTAAAAACCATTAAGGAAAATGGTAGTCAAATATGAAGGTTTTATAAAATAGTTTTCTTGCCACAAATACATTCATTATTCACCAAATTAAATTTATTGGCAGATTTAAATGAATATAGTGTGCAAGTTTTACAAATATTAGCATCATCACGTGTTGCTTTTACTTGCAGTCACAGAAAATTTTAATACCTTGATATCATAGAACCCTTGATATCATAGGAACCGAGTATACATAGGGGTCTAATCCAGGAGATTGCCAAATGGGGTTCTTTACAGGACTATTTCTTTATTTTAAGATAAAATTTCTATTAAATAATGGTAATTTTTATCTATTGATAGTAGCTTCGTCAACAAGTAATATTTTCGTCCCAGATTTCTTCTGTATTATTTGATGATGGGCCGCTTAAAATTGAAATTCGATAAAAAAAAAATGTCCGAAAATGTCTAGACGAAAATGTCTCACTGTATTCATTGCTTCGGACTATAAATGCAATAAATTTACTACTTCAAAAATATATATATTGAAAGTATTGATACATTTATATATATTTCTTATCAAGCAAATAATCTTACTTTATGAAATCACACCAAAGTTCCAAAAATCATGCATAAAAATGTTCAGCATTATTTTATAGGCTTAGTATAAAAATCTGTTCTAAACGAATACAATCGCTGTCGTCTTGCAGTGAAATATGCATTGTCTTCAATGTCTTGAAGACTCTAAAAAAACAATCTTTTCTTTCAAGAGCAAGCATTTTAACAACAAAGAAAGTTTTTGATTATTTATTTCCTTAATAGTTACGTTTAATAAAAAAACATGTGCTAAATTTTGATACATTAAAACATTCTTGATGAAAACACTACACATGAAAGGCAGTTAACCATAAACTTCTGAGTAAACTATAAATGAAACTTTTAACATATTAAAACATTTAAACATAACACCATTGCAAAAAAATTACATATGACAAATCAACAAACAAACTTTTAAGATATAGGGCCTAACTACATTTAAAAATGAAAGAAAACATTGCAGGCTTAAACATAACATCTGGGACCAAAAATAATATATTTATATTTTGGTCCCTGATAACATTAAGGACAATTTACATACACAATTTACATTCACATATTAACTTTTTCAGACACATATTTATTCATAGAACTACACTTTCATTCACATTTACATGTAATATGACACGTCATGGCTTTAATTAAAACCCAGGGCACACCGGACACTTGCAGCGAACAGACAATATATCTATATATTGTACACGTACATGGTCAGTCATACCGTATATTTCACGGTCTCTTTAGTCCTTATTGTCACACACACGAAAAATATTAAGAAAGTAGCAACAAAAACAACAATACAAAAACATTAAAAAAAAAAAACATGAAAAGTTAATTAACATTAAAAATGCACAAAATGAAAACACCCATTTTTTTCCTCATGAATAAATAAATGGTCATATTTATTTGCTTTTTCATTTTTTTTATATATGAAACTTTTAAAGAGGTAACAACAAAAAAATCAACAACACCTGTATTGTAAATATAATAAGAAATTACATTGAAACATTTTTTTAAAAATCATCATTTTATCATATCATGTGTCTTGGACAGAAAGATCTTCCCTCCCAGCATGTGTGAAACACAATTTGACCAAAAAATGGGAGAGGGGATGGGAAATGAAGTATGTAAATAAGAAATGATAGAAAAATAGGATGAAGTGTCTTCGGGATAAAGGGGCGATATAAGATCAGCTATAATTCTATAGTTTATCATTACCTGTGACTGGGTGCCTATCAAAAACTATATGAATGTCTTAGATTTATATTTTTCTGAAAACGTATTATCATGCTATTGTTGTTGTTTTAAAGGTGTTGTTGTTATTATTATTAATTATATAAGGCCTATATGTAATGTATATTGGATCGTTCATTCTCTGTGTAGCTATTTACAGTAGGGGCCTATGTGTTTGGAATAGTGTTATAAAAATAATCTGAGACTTAAAAATATCAAGTTCCAGCATTATATGTATATCTGTGGTTCCAGAAATAATTTTATATCTCAGTTTCAGTTTCAGTTTTTATTAAACCAAGGCATATAATATGCAACTGGTTATAACAACAAACAAACAGAAAAATAACAGTCAAAAATCACTAATATCACAATATAAGAATACAATTATGACTAGCTAAATAAACAAAAAAGGAGATCATATTGTTCATTTCAAGTACTGAATTTAATACAACATGTAATTTACATTGTAATAAATGGGAACGGAGAATGAGAAGTATTAATTATCTAAATTTTAACATAATGTTTTTACAAAATAAAGATAATTTTAGCAGAATTTTTTTTATCACAACTATTCATTAATGTGTCAAGTTTAAAAATATTTGGATGAATGTAAAACCTGGGAAGAAGAGATTTACGTCTTATGTCATTAAAGTACGAACATTCAAACAAGTAGTGAAATTCACCACCAATAGCTTGGAACAGAGCCTATCAATGTGTTAAAATAAAGTTATTATCATAATATTGTGTCATATTCGTTAAATTAAATCAGAAATCAAAAAATTAAAATTAGACAAAAATAGAAACATGGAGAGTCGTCCAATACGTCCAGAGTGCTGCAGACTCAATTTGAAGGGTTCAAAGGGGAGGGAGCGGACAGTCACCTAAACGAAAATATATCTAACTTTACATTTTCTGTGCATATTATAATTCCTTTATTGTTTTCTAGAATTCTGTTAAACATTGGAAATTAAATGTTGATCAAAATATGTAAATGTAAAGTAAAAAAATAAAATTAATGAAAATAAATGATTATAAAAAAAACGTTCCTGAAACTGACATGATCTGAAAAATGCATTTTGATAAATTTTGAGCTTCGTACATGACTTTTATCAATTTCTATTGAGAAAAAAATCTATTGAGCATTTTAATCAATAAAATCCGCAGGTTGTTTCTTCTTCTTTTTCTAGATCAATACTCTACATGTTCTATTAAATGTAAATTTGCCTTCTTTTCATTTGAGCACGGACGCTGTCGGCTTGAAATGCTGTATATGTGAGAATGAATTTTGGTCCAAATTATTTGAATTCATTAGAAGCTTTTCGTGTGGAGAGTGATTATGAAAATGTGTAATTTAAAGAAATACATCTATTATAAGTGTATTGTTGTAGCGAAAACAGGTGACGAAAGTTGCCCAACACATTTTTATAAAGTTTAATTAACCTACACAAACTTCTAAAATTTTCATAAACTATGTTGCCAATATATGACTTTCATTCACTCAGTAATTCGAGTATTTTAAGGAGAGAAGGTACTCATTTGCAACCAAAAATATTTGAAAATCCAAATTATTTTGTAAATATGAATTATAGAATGCGCTGAAAATATTTAGCTAAAATGTTTTAGTCAACTTAATTGAACCTTTGATAACTTATTTTAAACTATGATAATTTTTTTTCAGTTTCTATTGAGCATCCTTAATCAATAAAAAATACATATTATCAAATACCTTTCCTTTTTAATCGCTAAAAGGACGCTTACAATAACGATACATCTCTGAAATGCTGTATACCTGTGAAAATAGATTTTGGTCTCAAACTTTTAAAGAACGTTCATTATCCCTATTTTTTACTGATTTATTCTATACTGATAATGAATGTAGGCAAACAGATGATAATGAATGTAGGCAAACAGATGATAATGAATGTAGGCAAACAGATGATAATGAATGTAGGCAAACAGATGATAATGAATGTAGGCAAACAGATGATAATGAATGTAGGCAACAGATGATAATGAATGAAGGCAACAGATGATAATGAATGTAGGCAAACAGATGATAATGAATGTAGGCAAACAGATGTTAATGAATGTAGGCAAACAGATGATAATGAATGTAGGCAAACAGATGATAATGAATGTAGGCAAACAGATGTTAATGAATGTAGGCAAACAGATGATAATGAATGTAGGCAAACAGATGACATAAACACATGATATGAACATATGAGAGATGCCTTGAAGCCTATGATATGTCTCGTACTGATAAAGCCCGCTTATTTAAATGATATAAATGTGTGCCCTTGACATTTTATACATATTCGTCATGTCAAATAATGTTTAATTAAAAAAAAAATACATAAGACAGTGTATCATTGTAGCAAACACAGGTAACACAGCATGGCAAATTCATTTATAAAATTAAGCCGACATACAAAATCTAAAATTGATGACTTCCATTCGGACTTCATTCACTTTTTCCCGATCAATTTAAAGACAAACTATATTTCATTTGCAACCAAAAATACTTGAAGTTCAAGTTTTTATCAAGATTATCAAAATTAACTTGGAGATATGAATAATAAATTCCCTTAGAAATGTTTATTTAGTAACGTTAGCTTTATTTTTGTTTAGGTGAAAATTAAAAAAAGGAATGCACAAAGTGACCTAATCTGAAAAAAATCTTTGATAACATATTTTGAAGTTTTATCAGTTTCTATTGAATATCCTATTTAATCAGTTAACTTCACTTTGTTTTTATGTGAACATTTTTAAACAATAAAAATTCCTATTGCACAAAATCTACCAATTTACGACATTTCGAGGCCTTATGTTTTGTTATGAAAACGAAACGTTGATATTGATAATTATCTACTTATTTCTCCCAGAATGGCAATTGAAAGTCTCCATCCTATTTTTATTCATTTTTCTTATTTTTTTCGATGCTACTATTCAACCACCCTGGAATGCTGTAAATATGAGATAATGTTTCGGTCTCAAAAAATTTGATCTTTCGTTATTTCATGTTACCAAATCTTTTGATTAAATGGAGAAATTTCTGTGAGACTACTGTGAGTATCAAATGCTGTTTTAAATGAACATTAGCAAGTACAGATGATATAACACATGGCATGCGAACTGATTATGAACTGTTTGTGGATAGGATTATATCCAAAACACACGTATAAAATTTTGGTTGGTGTATTGTTTCTTTATTTTTTGCTTTATTTATTTATTTTTTTGAGCGAGGGATTTAATGAAACATATCAGCAAAAATTCAATATACCAAATTTCATTTGCAAATCGGCAAAACATTGTCATTGGCAATACTTACAAAACTTACATATACGCGTATAGATGCTGATCTTGAAATACAACACACATAAATACAAGATATAAATACAAACATTTCAAATACCAGTATTCTATTTAAATAAACAAATATAAGCGTAGCAATGTGGTAATAATCATATAACATTAATAACAATTGGCAAATAAATTCATAGCCTATACAATCTAAAATTTTCATAAAATATATTGGCAAGATATCTTATATTCAGACTTCATTTACTAACAGTTAATTTACAAACAATATTTAAAGCTCAAGTTTGTATCCAGATTATTCTGTGGATATTAATTATAATATGCACTGAATGTTAAGGTAAAAGATTTATTTAAGAGATGTATACGCAAAAAATTAAAATAAAATAGAATATACAAACACACAACAACAACAACAGAACAAAAATAAATAAATAAAATGAAAAAAGATATAAGAAAAAGAACCCTCAAACTGACTTCTGAGTGATCATTTCTTTTCCAAATTTTTAATCTGAAAAATGTCTTGAATAACTTTTTTATTTTAAAGTATGTGAGTTTTATCAGTTTCTATTGAGCATCCTTGATAAATTATCTTTTTTTTTCCCTGAGCATCTATAATCAATTACATATCTTATCTATTGCATAAAGTTTATCAATTTCCGAAGTTTCGGGAGTTAAAACTCTTTTTAAACCACTTGAGCGGCTTGCTATTTTTTTTTACGAAAACAAGACGTCGGAGATTGATATGCTGTAGTAAGTGTGAGATTTAAAAAAAGAATGAACTTTCTTGATCTAATGATTCTACATCCCGGTTACTGACCGAGCCCGTTCATTTAAATGTCGTAAATTTTTTACATGCATCTCAAAACAGTGTATTATATTAGAGTCTTTTTGTTTGTTTGTTTGTTTGTTTGTTAGTTGCTTGGTTTTGTTTTTGGCTGGGCTTTAAGTCACTCCAACGTTGTAAAGATCATATGGCGACTTCTCAGAAAGACCTCAGGTGCCACTCCATGCATTATAAAAAGGCATGCATGAGCAGGGATCTGAGTAAAACAACTGTAAGCTAGCTGGTTAAGACTTTGTCTTGTGAAAACAGGACTGGTGACGCAATTTTGAAAATGTATCTGTTTAGTTAAACTAACCTATACAATCTTCTAAAATGTTCATGAAATATGAAGCAGACTTCATACATTCAAATTTTATGGAACTTAAAGTATAAGTTTGCGACCAAAAATGTTAGAAGTTAAAGTTGTTTCCAGATTAAAATAGACGTTGACAATGTTTAGTTAGATTCATTTTCGTTAATGCGACCCTCCGCAATAAAATCCTTAAATTGACTTGATATGAAACGTCTTTTGATAACTTTTAGATTATGGGAAGTTTATCAGTTTGTATTGAGCATCCTTGAAATATATGGGTTCTTTTTTAGGAGAACTTGAAGGATAAGTTTTCAACCACATGTGATAAATTAACATTTAATATTATTCTGAGCATCGATATTCAATGAAATGTCTTATGTATTGCATAGTTATTAATTAAGTTTATCAATTCCTACAGTTTCGAGGTGTTAAACGTCTTTTTAAACCACTTAAAGAGCTTGCTATTTATTTTATGCAAACAAGACGTCGGATATTGATATGCTGTAAGTATGAGATCTAAAAAAAGAATGACCTTTCTTCATCTTAAGATTCCACATTCCAGTCACTGATCGAGCCCGTTCATTTAGTCGTAACTTTGGGCATGCATGTCAAATACGGGTTTACTGGTTCAGGAAGACTTTAGGTACCACTCCATGCATTTTAAAAGCATGCATGAGCAGGAAATAATAACCGTAACCTAGCTGGATAAGACCGTGTGTTGTTGTAGTGAAAACAGGTGACGCAATTTGGAAAATTCATTTATAAAGTTTAGCAACAATCTTCTAAAATTTTCATGAAATATGTTGCCAAGTACAAGTTAATGATTTTTATTCAGACTTCATTCATTCAAATGGTATGGAACTTGAAATATAAGTTTGCAACCAAAATGTTTGAAGTTGTATCAAGATAATTGTGTAGATATGAATTAAAATACCGTTGACAATGTTTAGTTAGATTAATTTTCGTTAATGCGAAAACCCCAAAATTAATCCTTAAATTGACTTGATATCAAAACGTCTTTTGATAACTTTTAAATTATGGGAAGTTTACCAGTTTGTATTGAGCATCCTTGAAATAAAGGTTCTTTTTTGGAGTACTTGAAGGATAAGTTTTCAACCACAAGTTTAATATTTTTCTGAGCATCTATAATCAATTAATTGTCTTATCTCAATAAATTTTATCAATCCCGAAGTTTCGAGGGTTGAAACCTATTTTCAAACCACTTAAGGAGCTTGCTATTTATTTTATGAAAACAACACGTTGGAGACTGATATGCTGTAGTAAGTGTGAGATCTAAAAAAGAAAGAATGAGCTTTCTTTATCTAATGATTCCACATCCCGGTTACTGATCAAGGCTCTTCATTTAAATGTCATACATTTTGACATACATCTCAAAATTAGAGGCTTTTTGTTTGTAAGTTGTTTGGTTTTGTTTTTGGCTGGGCTTTAAGTCACACCAACATTGTAATGATCATATGGCGACTTTCCAGGTTTATTGGTTGAGGAAGACCTTAGGTGCCACTCCATGCATTCTAAAAAAGCATGCGTAATCAGGGATTTGAGTAGAATAACTGTAAGCTAGCTGGATAGGACCGTACGTATGTTGTTGTATTGAAAACAGGTGACGCAATTTGTAAAATTCATTTATAAAGTTAAGTTAACCTACACAATCTTCTAAAATTTTCATGAAATATGTTGCCAAGTACCAGTAAATGATTTTCGTTCATACATCATTCATTCCAATTAAATGGAACTTGAAATATAAGTTTGCAACCAAAAATGTTTGAAATTAATGTTGGATCCAGATATTTTTGCAGATATGAATTAAAATAGACGTTGAAAATGTTTAGTAATATTTATTTACGTTAATGCGAACAAAAATCCTTAAATTGACTTGATATGAATCGTCTCTTGATACTTTTTAAATTATGGGAAGTTTATCAGTTTGTATTGAGCGAGCATCCATGAAATAAAGTGTGTTTTTTGAGAACTTGAAGGATAAGGTTTCAACCACAAGGACTTCTAGATAGCATCCAGAATGTGAAAAAATCATGGGTATTGTCACGGATCTTAAGATCTGTTGTATTGTGCAACTTGTTTTTTTGTCATGTGAATTGATAATTTTAAGTATTGAGGATAAAAAGTTCTTTTGTCTATTATGAATTAGACCTACATGCAAGGTTTCATGAATCAAACAATAAATGACCAGAATCGTTACTTGTCAAATCTTAATATATGAACAGGACCATGTTAATATATCTTCGATAACTTTGTCACATTGGAAGCTAGGGAGTCAAAACTATCATTAATGCATGCAAATACTAGAAATTTCAACCCACTTACCTGGACCAAATCTGTGTTACCATGTCATGATCCCAATTTTCTCTAGATTGCAACCAGCCTAGCTCACTTGAACCAGGTGTGAACCACTCAAGTCCTGCATGTCCTCTGTTAAGTCAACTTATAACTGTCAGTTGAAGTGAAAACATAGGTGATGAATTTTATTTTCTATTAGAATGCTTAAATATTACTAAGGATCGAAAAAATACATCTCTGAAATTTATTAAAGAGATCCTAATATAATGAAGTTTGAAATATTACTGAACACTGATCCTTCTACGTGGCTTATGAAAAACACATGCATGTTTTTTACTACTTTTTCAAAAAAGTATTGACTAAAAGGTAGTGCGTTGAATTTTGGTAATTATTTTTTGAAATAAAAACATCTAGAGATCCCAATATAATGAAGTTTGAAATGTATTGACTAAAAGATATAGCGTTGAATTTTGATATATATATATATTTTTAGTATTCGTTGCATTTTCCCCAAGGTTATTCTTTCTCCTGTCTACGTAGAATGAAAATTTAAAGATGATATCTGAGAGTTATATGCATTAAATCTCGTCAGATTTTAGGAAAAAAATTATTTACCTTACCTTTACATGTATTGTGTATTGAGTGAATGATAAAAATCTTGAAATCTTGAATCCAAACAGCAAGGTGGCAAATTATCCTGAACGAGCTGTTGTCCTGACCAATATGACTCTTTAATTGTCTCTTAACCGAATAACATCTTTGAACGCAAATTTTTTTTTTATGTTAATAAGGTTTCTTTTTTATCTAATCTAGTGACATACTTTCATGAAACTTGTTCTAGAAATAATTAACAAAAACGTCAACATTGTGACAGAAAATATTGAAAACGGACCTCAAGGGTCTTAAAGCAAATTTACTTTAATCTGTGACAGCTACTTAGTTTTTAAACCACAAAATAAAAAAAAACGTCAATAGGATTATACCCTGCTTGCATCTTATTAAATAATTGAGATCAAAATGCCATTTGTTGGGCGTTCGCAAACAAGAAGACCCATGTGCGAAAGTGACTGGACCCAGAAGTAACCAAGATGTTCAAACCTCGAACCAGTTTCACTAAGTATTGGTGGAAATGTGGCATCTATGGCGTAAATAAAGTTTTTTTCTCTTTGATATAAACTCGAACCTTATAATTATAATGCAGTTTCAAACATCTCGATCAAAATTGTGACCGCTAGAAAATTAACAACCAAGCAAACAGCCATTTCTAAAAGACAAATACATGTACACTTTAAATGCCGTACTCGGATGAGCGAATTATTTTAGACTAAGAGTGCTGATCAAATTTAGGGGTTCATTAATTTTGTTGTTTCTGATAAAAGTACACATGCACTTTCAGAGATAAATACACTCAGTCAATATAAGTTTTTGATATATTCCTTTATAATATAGTTGTAACATGTTTAGAACAATTATATGATCAAATTAATGGAATTTGTTTTTTCTTGCCGAGTAATTAATGCCTCGGTGTTTTAATTTTGCATTGAATGTATAGTATATATAGTCTAGTGGCAAAGGAAAACGGTAGTTCCCTGACGTCGATGTTGCATAAAGTCTATACTTTGAAAGTGTACTTATTTCAAATGATTGCGTATTTGTAAGAAAGCGTGCACCGGTGACAACCGTTAGATTTCTATCACATTAGATAGATTATCGGATTAATCTATGCCGCGGACAAATGTATCACACAATTAGATCATTAACCACATATTTTAATTCTGGGTAGACATGCCTTCTTAAAACAATTAAGTCATTAGCACTGGTTCCATACACTTCCCGAATGAAATAATTTTCATTCGATTAACAGATGATAAAACAAAGTAATAAATCAAATAAATCAAATACTAATTGGCGCACAAATTTGACAGGTGGCCGGAACGTAAGTTTGGTACTCGGCATGTAATAATTATTCTCAGCCAATTTGAGAGCAGACGACCAGTGGTAACGGGAATAACTATTAATGAATGATAAGGTTTGCGTGTTTTTTGACTACCTTACTGTGTTTTTGTAGAAATATTGCTTGTGTAAAAACACTTGGAGGTTGAATACACATTGCATTAAAACAATTGGACACGCTGCATTAAAACACTTGGACACGCACCATGCTTTTTGTATTTGCACGTGTTTTTCGTGATCTTACAAGGCACGTGCTAATCAACGAATTCATTTACAGAACAACAGAGAAACGGTCAGAACTTAACTAAAGAGCAAAATATAATATAATCTTACGATTTTTTGTTCATATTTTAATCATGTAACTGTTCATTTCTGACATGTACACGTGTTATGTCTAACTTATGGTAGAAGTTGGTGTTGTTCTTTGCAGGATATGAAGAGACAAGCAGAAACTTTTCTTGACAATTATCTGAGTAGCATAGGGTTATGGAGAAAACCAGTTGCAAGAGATGGTTTGTCATTGTTCAGGGCAGTTTCAGAACAGGTTTGATATTTGGAATTTTTAATTCATTGCTAGGATGCTGAGAGCTTTTTTAGAAAAAAAAATAACTTCAGCTGTTTAGATCTAGTTCACTGAGGAAGTCAAAATTCTATCAGTTTATACTGTTAAAAGTCCAATTACAATGACATCTCCCCTCATGAAAAGTCCAATTACAATGACATCTCCCCTCATGAAAAGTCCAATTACAATGACATCTCCCCTCATGAAAAGTCCAATTACAATGACATCTCCCCTCATGAAAAGTCCAATTACAATGACATCTCCCCTCATGAAAAGTCCAATTACAATGACATCTCCCCTCATGAAAAGTCCAATTACAATGACATCTCCCCTCATGAAAAGTCCAATTACAATGACATCTCCCCTCATGGATTCTTATTTGGATATCTGAGGTGTCCCTTTGGCCAAAATACTTTAGTTAAAAGTATAACATATTCTTATTGAACAGTGTTGCACATATTTTGAAAGGTTCCAAAAACGAATTATTGCATACATCAGTATATCATCAGTGATCATATACCTTGGCCTTCAGTACAGGTCAATCTAAAATGAACTTTTAATTTTTATGATTTATAAATCTTTTATTAAAATAATTATTTTTATGCTTTGAGTGTTAAATTATAGCATTTATATGGTAGGAGAAATTGAGGATGAAACTCTGCAAGTGTTTGAACAATTTTGAAGCAAATGTTTATGTATCGGTAACATGTAGACTCTACATGCTAAACAAAACTTTTAAGTTCTTCTTTAAACTTTGATAATTCTTTTAATTATCATTCAATTCAAATGAAAATTTTAGAAAATGTTACACATTATGAAATATTATGAATTTCATGTTGGAGATTCATCTTGTAATTACACAGCTGCATACCGATCAGCTGTTTTAAGCTTTAGTGCATTCACGACTTGCGCCAAATTATTAAAGTAAAATTTATCAATAAAGTTTATTGATGATAACTTATTTATTATTGTAAAAAAATGTGTATATTAAAGTTCCTAATGCAACAGATAAGAATAGAAAACAGCAAACAGGCAATATGATTGATCCAAGCTTGAATTACACACAGTATTTGCGGTAGATCAAACTATTTATTGTTACATATCTGCTGTAAAAAATGGCAGCATGCAGTAATTTCAATATCACAATCACATTGACATTATGGAAGACGATAAAACCCCAAAGGTCAAAACCCCAAAAAACCTCAAAATTTTATAGAGTGGGATTACATACACTATAAAATTCATGTGTGGTGTTTTGTCCACACTATAAGATTTTGAGGTGTGGCGTTTTGACATGTGGGGTTTTGTCCTTTATTATTACATTATATCCAATTTTCCCAAAAATTATCTTAAAATTAAAAATGTTTATTGAAAAAGATAACAACAAATTAATAAGTCATAAATCATGTTTTTGCAAAGATTTGACCCTCTCAATATTAATGTAAGTTTGTTAGCCATATTCTAAAATTTGAAATAGCTTTATACCTTTTAAAACATAATTTAACATATCTTCTTTGTGTGAAGTCAAAGCATATTTATTTATATTTACCAATGGACTGTGTAGCATTTATCAAAATTTGAGCATATTTTATTTTTAAATAACTGACTCAATGTAAGAGTGTTGCTGTAACAAGGAGCAAATTAAGAAGTGATACCCAGTTTTTTCTTCCAGTTACGCAAGTTTTATGCAAGTTAGCTAAATTTTGAACAGAACTTATTTCTGCGAATAGATCAAATCTAATTTTGTAAGAATCATCATGAACATTTTATCGTGATACTTTATTATGCGGGTAATTATCATGATATCAGCCCCTACCATCTCCGTAATCATGTGTTTCTGAAGAGAGTGAGCTAGGGCTATCATTGCACTGTTGTTTTGTTTTATAACAAGAATACCTAACACAAACTTGAAAACTAAATCCATTCAAGCAAATTTAGAAATTATTGATTTTATATGAACATTATTGTGATAAGGATTCAGCATATTTTGCCTTTCAGCTATTCATGACTCAGACTTTTCACACCAATCTGTATGAAGCGTGTAGGATTGTGTTTCTGCACCTGGGCATGGATCCTGAAACAGTAAGAAAACATTGAAATATTTTAAATTTTATGTCTGAAAAAATAAAATTTAGATACAGTCTAACCCCGTTTATTCGAAGTGCCTGGGACTGAATATTTACTTCGAATAATCGATGGGTTCGAATAATCGAAATCGGAATATTGTGATAGACGAAAACTACTCCACTTTGACCAATCACCGCAAAACTACCGTTTACAACACACTTGCTTCCTGTAATCAATTGAGAAAAATAGATATTAAAGAAAAAATGCGTAAAAATTATTGTATTGACATTTAAGACATAAATACTTGCATTTTATTCTACATTATGTATTGTTTCGTTTCGCGCAAAGCCTTGATAATGGCCGTGTCGTCACTACGGTATTTACAGCTAAACTCTGGTATTTTCGATTAGGATAAATTAAGGCTCTCATGTAGCGTTACAATTAATGAAAACAATGTTTTTGATGTTTTGACAAATTCACATATACGGAATGTATAAAAAATATTGCTGTCATCTTAAACAAAATCGGACACGGTGCATAGCTTTTCATTTTCGTTAATTAAAGTTGATTAAAGAACACACGAAGTGTTATTATTATGATTGTCTAATTACACGCATGACTGTGGATATTTTTCACAAGTCGACTGGTCAGCGAGTGGATCTGCGTCAATTAGTCTAGCTTCGAATAATAATTAGGCTGGCTTCGAATAATAGGTGTGAAATTCTTTCGTAATTGTATATTTGGGACCGAAATTTTACTTCGAAAAATAGGAGGTATTCGGATAATGCATTTCGAATAATACGCTCGTATTTATATTGTTTATATAGAGATAAAAACGGGACCGGCGATCTACTTCGGATAATGCCGGGTATTCGAATAAAGGGTTGTCGAATAACCGGGGTCGGACTGTAGATTAATAATTCTCATTTTGAAGGACCACTGTGGCCAATTGGTTATGACCACTTGCCACATACTACTATGGGTTTGAATCTCATCAGGCTATGGATTTGAATCCCATCAAGAACTGGATGCAACTGGCTTACTGAATATCAGGCAACCCTTAATAATATATATGTTTGCTATTGCCGACCCAGAGTTGTAAGGAGTGGGTCGGTAGGTAGGCTTTTTTTTTTTTTTGGATATATGGTTTTTAAGGAACGTAATTAAATACGCTTAGTACGTTGTAACAGATTGTGGAAATTTAGACCACACTATCATCATCGGCGACGACGAACCTGACATGTAAAAGTCAGTCAAAACCAATCAAAAACATGTTCACTAGTAATCATAACATGAAATAAAAAAAAAAATGACTATGTGGACATAAATTCAAGCATGGTCAAATTACCGATGTGATAAACTTATCCTGCGTAAATATTCTCGTACGACCTGGAAAAATTATAGTAGATCACCTGGACATTTCGTTCTTTCGTTCTCAATTTATTACACGTCTGTAAAAAATAACACACGCAAGATTTGTCTCCTATAATTTCTGAATGGCGGATATTTGCACCCCTGTTTCAAAAATGTTAAAATATTTAATTGTTAGTTACCGAAAATTATCGCCGAATGTTGAAATTCCATAGCGCTAAAAGACACAAAAACACTCGCGCAAAAAGTAGCATCCATGAATAAAAGGAATATAATGTTTCTATTGTTAAATAATAAATACAAAATTTACACGTGTACGAAATGACCTCTGACAAATGACTGGTCGCCTCTTCTGAAGAATCTGTGAATCTTTGATGTTTACACACCTGTACTTGTTGCCGAATCATCAAAGAAGTGCCGACACTCAATTGACTTCCAACTCTTTTTTATATATCAGGAAAAAAAAGTCATTTCTTTTTGTCAAGGAATGATTACACATGTATATAATTATTGCACAAGCCAAAAAAATGTTGGATATTTATTGTGTCAATTATTGACATATTATTAATCGTAAGTGCATTTTGACATGGAGTTTAATTAGACCACGTTGTTAGACGTATGTATATCTGTGATTTTGATTGTGATATTTTATTTACATTTTTATGATCTTGATGTGCAATACTTGTGTCTGCTATCAAAACAATAATGCATATGAAAGTACCACAGCTTTCAAAATTTTATTTTTTCGGTCAGTTTTATGACAGAATCCCCGCGGCTTCCAGAAATGTTTAACTGCATGGGCTAATTAGTATTTAATCTGTGTCGACAGTCATAAACAAACGAACATGTACCCCAAATCACATTTAAATTACCCCCATGGTAAACTATTGACCATATAAATGCTTTACAAATATTCATGCACCGCCTCCGTGGTCGAGGGGTTAGAGTCGATGACTTCTAATCCACTAACCTCTCTGGCGTGGGTTTGATCCCCGGGAGATGCTTTGGTAGTTTAGCATGGAGGAAGGTAGTCTAGTACTGGTGTAACTCTCCAGGAACGATGGTTAGGAAACTACCCGCCTATATGACTGAAATACTGTTAGGAAAAGGCGTAAAATGAAACAAACAAACAAATATTCATTAATTGAACAAACATTATTTTTAATCCCGTTTCCACACCTTAATTTGATACATTCTATTATTAGTTATTTCAATTTAAGTGCCGTGCGCATGCAGTACTGCGTGACGTAAGGAAAATATCCTTCCCATGTTGGTCGCTACTTATGTAAATACTTTAAATAGTAACACACAGAATGCCTTTATGAATGATTACTCGTTACTTTACATATTAAATGTGTTGTTTTCCTCCGATTTTATTTTTGTTTTCGAGGGATTTTTTTGGGTCAAATGCCCTGGCTGATTTGGCAAAAATAAAAAAAAATCTGATTTTTTAAGCTGAAAAAAAACTTTTGAGTCGGGGCATTTACACCGGGTCGGCGGGCAATAGCAAACAGATAATTTTTTAAGAGTGGCCTCAGTGGTACTATTTGAATGCACACTCTTGCCTAAATATATGTTCAAATTGAGCACCTAAAGTTCTCTTTTCTTAAGTTAAGCTTCAAAATAGGAATATGATCTAAAAAGGATCAGTGTTGCTTAAAGCACTATCATTAAAACACAACCAAAAAAAAGATTTTCACCAGGAAATATCGCAGTTAAGTCAGGTTTGTTTGATTCAGAATAGAAACAGTATCATTATCTGCTCCTGGCACTATTTTTTGTGTCACTTAATTAAGACCTTCAAACTAAGGAGGGTTTTATGCAGTGGACAATAAGTTTTAAAAACTACCATAAATGGAAATTTTATGTATTATTTATACAAATGAACATATAACCTGTCACTACATTTAGGAGTCAAAACAGTTCATTTTCTTCTCAGAAGTTAAGTGTTAGATTATTTTGAATTTGGAAATAAAAGGAGTGTTTTTGGATTTGGGATGGGGCCTTGTATCAGCCCCTGGTGACTGAGTGAAAATGACGAAGATGCAAAGAAAATAGTTGTGCCGTGCCAAGAATGTATGAATGCAAAGAATGTGCTAATACCAAGAATGTTCTAGTGTCAATGATGTACTTGTGTTTAGAATGTGCTGGTCAAAGTATGTCCTAGGTGCCAGAAATGGGCTTGTGCCAAGAATGTGAATGTTTCAATGATGTGCTGTGCCAAGGATCAGCTTGTGCCAATGATGTGCTGGTGCCAATGATGTGCTAGTGCCAAGAATGTGCTGTTATCAAGAGAATATCCTAATGACGAGAATGTGCCGGTTTGAAGAATGTGTTAGCCCATAGAATGTGCTTTTGCCAATGATGTGCTGTGCCAAGGGTATGATGGTGCCAAGAATGTGCTTGTGCAATGAATGTGCTGGTGCCAAGGATGACCTAATGTCAAGGATAAATTTGTACCAAGGATGTGGTAGTTCAATGTGCTTGTGCAAAGAATTTGTTTGTGCCAAGAATTATCTGGTGCAAAGAATGTGCTGATACTGAGAGAATGTGCTAGTGCCAAGAATGTGTTTGTGCCAATGATGTGCTGGTGCCTGTGATGTGCTAATGCCAATGATGTGCTGGTGCCAATGATGTGCTTGTGCAATGGATATGCGAGAGCCAAGAAAGTGCTGGTGCCAAGAATGTGCGTGTGCCAAGAATGTGCGTGTGCCAAGAATATGCTAGTGCCAAGAATGTGCTAGTGCCAATGATATGCTGGTGCCAAGAATGTGCTTGTGCCAAGAAAGTACTTGTGCCAATGATGTGCTAGTGCCAAGAATGTGCTTGTGCCAAAAATGTGCTGGTACCAAGAATGTGCTGGTACCAAAGATGTGCTAGTGCCAAGAATGTGCTTGTGCCAAGAATGTGCTTTTGCCAATGATGGTGTGCTGTGCCAAGGGTATGATGGTGCAAAGAATGTGCTGGTGCCAAGGATGAACTAATGTCAAGGATAAATTCGTACCAAGAATGTGCTTGTGCCAAGGATGTGGTAGTTCAATGTGCTGGTGCAAAGAATTTGTTTGTGCCAAGAATTATCTGGTGCAAAGAATGTGCTGATACTGAAAGAATGTGCTAGTGCCAAGAATGTGTTTGTGCCAATGATGTGTTGGTGCCAATGACGTGCTAGTGCAAGGGATATGCGAGAGCAAAGAAAGTGTGTGTGCCAAAAATATGCTAGTGCAAAGAATGTGCTGATACTGAGAGAATGTGCTAGTGCCAAGAATGTGTCTGTGCCAATGATATGTTGGTGCCAATGACGTGCTAGTGCAAGGGATATGCAAGAGCAAAGAAAGTGTGTGTGCCAAAAATATGCTAGTGCCAAGAATGTGCGTGTGCCATGAATTTGTTTGTGCGTAGAATGTGCTGGTGCCAATGATATGCTGGTGCCAAGAATGTGCTTGTGCTAAGAATGTTCTAGTGCCAATGATGTGCTAGTGCCAAGAATGTGCTTGTGCCCAAGAATGTGCTTGTGCCAAGAATGTCTTTGTGCCAATGATGTGCTAGTGCCAATGATGTGTTGGTATTAATGATGTGCTTGTGCCAATGATATGCTTGTGCCAAGAATGTGTTTGTGCCAAGGATGTGCTAGTGCCAAGAATGTGCTTTTGCCAATGATTTGCTAGTGCCAAGAATGTGCTTGTGCCAAGAATGTGGTGGTGTGCCAATTATGTGCTAGTGTCAAGGATGTGATGGTGTTGAGAATTTGCTGGTGTCCATATGAACTAGAGCCAATGATTTGCTAGTTCAAAGAATGTGTTTGTGCCACTAATGTGTGGTACCAATGATATCCTGGTGCCAAGAATGTGCTTGTACCAATAATGTGCTTGTGCCAAGAAAGTGCTTGTGCTAATGATGTGGTAGTGCCAAGAATGTGCTTGTGCCAAGAATGTGTTTGTGCCAATGATGTGCTAGTGCCAAGGATGTGCTGGTGCCAAGAATGTGTTTGTGCCAATGATGTGCTAGTGCCAAGGATGTGCTGGTACCAATAATGTGCTTGTGCCAATGATTTGCTAGTGCCAAGAATGTGCTTGTGTGCCAATTATGTGCTAGTGCAAAGGGTGTGATGGTGCTGAGAATGTGCTGGTGTCCATATGAACTAGAGCCAAGGATGTGCTGGTGCCAAGAATATGCTATTGCCAAAAATGTACTTGTGCTAATGATTTGCTAGTGCCAAGAATATGTTTGTGCCAAGAATGTGCTGGTGTGCCAATTAAGTGCTAGTGCAAAGGGTGTGCTAGTGCCAAGAATGTGTTTGTGCCAATGATGTGCTAGTGCCAAGAATGTGCTAGTGCCAATTATTTGCTAGTGCCAAGTATGTGCTTGTGCCAAGAATGTGCTGGTGTGCCAATTATGTGCTAGTGCCAAGGGTGTGTTTGTGCCAATGATGTGCTTGTGCCAAGAATGTGTTTGTGCCAATGATGTGTTTGTGCCAATGATGTTTGTTTGTTTATTTCATTTTACGCCTTTTTCCAACTGTATTTCAGTCATATAGGCGGGTAGTTTCCTAACCAGCGTTCCTGGAGAGTTACACCAGTACTAGACTACTTTCCTCCGAGCTAAACTACCATAGCATCTCCCGGGGATCGAACCGACGCCAGAGAGGTAACTGGATAAGAAGTCATCTACTCTAACCCCTCTGCCACGGAGGCGGTTGTGCTTGTGCCAATGATGTGCTAGTGCCAATGATGTGCTTGTGCCAAGAATGTGATGGTGCTGAGAATTTGCTGGTGTCCATATGAACTAGAGCCAATGATTTGCTGGTGCCAAGGATGTGCTTGTACAAAGAATATGCTGGTCCCAAGAATATACTAATGCAAAGAATGTGCTAATACCAAGAATGTTCTAGTGCCAATGATGTACTGGTGCTTAGAATGTGTTGGTGTCAAGAATTGGCTTGTGCCAAGAATGTGAATGTTCCAAGGATGTGTTAGTGCCAAGAGAATGAGCTTGTGTCAAGGATGTGCTAGTGCCTAGAAAGCTGGATGTGCTTGTTTGGAGAATGGGCTGGTGCCAAAAATGTGCTGATGCATCAAATGTGCTAGTGTTTAGGATGTGCTTGTGTTAAGGATGTTTCAACTTCATTAGTATGCTGGTGTCAAAGATGTACTACTGGCACGGATGTGCTAATGCCAAGAATGTTTTGATGATAAGAATTAGCCAAAAATGTGTTGATACCAAGTATGTGCTGGCGTGTAGAATGTGCTGGTATTAAGATTTGTTTTTCAAGTTTATTTAATGTAATTGTGTTAATTTTTTTTCAGCAATCTACAGTTTTATAACTGGCTGAATGAATAAAACTTCTGAAAATAAATAACTGACAAGAATCTGGGCTTGGGCTATGTTTTTACCAAAATCAGATTCGTGTTTTAGGCATATAACTTATTTCCTGGTTGATCTTTTATCATCATATTATAATGAAAGTGTGTTATAATATAAGAAATAACACACAGTACTTTAGACCTACTAGCATAATAGTGATCTCCTGATCAATCCGAAACATTTAATAATTACATGCTGATTGATCAGTCATTATAATGCTATGAGGCCCTTAGTGATTAGGACTATTTCTTAGATGGTGTTTTATTTTTTGTAGGACTGGACAGAGATAGAAGTTATACAGATCCTCTCTAGAATGTATAGGTTAGTATAAAGAATATATATGAGTCTATTTAACAGGGTCTGAGGTTATATAAAGAGCTTTTCTAAACTCAAACTCATATCTCAGCTATTTGATTGGTCAGAAATCTCCACAGGCTATTCAATGACCAATGAAAATCTTGTGATTTGAGACAACAGTTCAGACAAAATGTTTTATAATCCAGAGGCCTGACAGGTCAGTGTAAGTATAGAATAAAAAATTCTCTATTTGACTACTGGCTTAAATTATAAATGAATGAAAGTTGGATAATAAAAGTTAGATCAGTCTTGCAATATTTGTAAAGATCTGTTTTAATGAGGAAATTGGCCTTTTTCCACTATTTCAGGAAATTGCCACATGGGAAATTTGTGTTGTAAAATTTTTATATTTTGGAAAAAAGCTTTTAAATTTACCAATTAAGGAAAATGACTGCCAGCATTCAAAATGTTAAAACTTAAAATAAATCATAAACTGTTGAGAAATTAAAAGATAGCCAAAACTTCCTATCCACTATTACGCAACACCAAATGCACAAAGGTGATTCCTTTTTTTCAAATCGCTGATCTTGGGATTTGAAATGGAGAAAAAAAAACATATAAAATTTGGATTGGGAGTGGAGCTTATATTCGGACCCATGGGATGGGGGGGGGGGGTTGGAGGCCTGGTAAAGATAAATAATTAGTCAGTATTAAAATAAACATTAGCATATTTTAGATATATCTGTAGAATAATGTGATAGTATGAATATAAGATGGTATAACCTTTCCTATGATACAGATACTTGTAGTTTATGTTTTAATATTTAAGTGATTATGCTACAGTACAGTTAGTAAATGTAGTTCAAAGTTAATTACTAACCTTGTTCCCCGCAAAGTAAGCTGCAGGCCATTTACTGAAAAGTAGTGCATTTAAATATAAACTATGATATAAATAATTTTAGTGAAGGAAGTAAAGTGTTTAACTTCAAAATATGATTAATATATTTTGTGTTTTTTGTTGCTATGGAAGAATTAAATTTAGCTTTTTCCTTGTATATTTTCAGGAGGGATTTCTTGATATATGAAAGTGTTGGACATGCTCCTTTCAAAGCTTCTAACAATAATTACAATAAAAAGGTACAATATTTTTGATACTATTCATTACTGAAAGATTGTTGGGAATAGTCACTTCATATATAAACTCCAGAGTTGCTATTTAAATGTTCCTGAGAAAGTAAATACTTTTTATACCTTGCATGGGTTTCTTTTGCTTTTAAGTCATTTGGATCAAGGCTACTTGTGTTTAAAATAAATTTTCCTACTTTATCCCATCATTATTTGTCTCATATCTATCTTTTTTAATGTCGATTATATGAACATACACTTATATAGCTAAGGGTATTGATATATCTTCAATTGCCAACTAAACAAACCACAATGCACAGATCCGATTTCAGCAGTAGAATAAAACTATGATATAATATACTCAAGCATTTAGAATTGTTTTGTTTTCTGCATTTATTTTATTGCAGCTGGTACATTCAATATTTATCAACAAATTCGGAGTTTTTCCTTCTCTTATTACTTAAAGGCTAAGCAATATTCTTCTGGTTTTCTTTACCTTTAGGGATTTGAAAAAAAACAACATATCTCCTACATGCATGGTGGGATTCTAATGGAACTTCATAGAAATGTTCACCCTTATGAGAAGTAATGTCATGTGCATGAACCAGGTCTGTAGGTTAAAGGTTAAGGTCACACTTACAGGTTTTTGAAAAATGCTTGTTTAGAGCAAAACTTCTACATTCATTGGAATTTAAATGTCACTTTGCACAAATGGTCACCATTTTGAGGCAAAATATTTTGTGTATAATCTAGGTCCCTGTTACCAAAGTAAAGGTCACATAGAGAGGTCAAAGTTAAGATAAAATAGAAGATGTGCACAGGGACCATTTACTCACCATTTATTGAATGTATCACAAATGATAACTATCATGACTACAAGTGTGACACATAATATAATTTAGGTTAATATTTGCAAGGTCAAGGTCACTAGAGATGATAAAATATACAGATTTTGTCTGGATATTGCCTAGAGCATATCTTCTGTATGCATATCTATAATGCCCACATCTCTGTCGAAAAGTTTTGTGACAGGCATATTTTGCGACAATGTTGCCCTTGTCATTTTCAGAATCTTACTGTTTCAATAGGTTTTAAGATGTGCTTCTTTAATTTCTGTCTTTTCAGATTTTGTTGTGTAGAATAGGTGATAATCAGCTGGACTCTGTTTATCAAATTAGCTTTAAAGAAGATGCTGCAATATGTCAGTGTAAGTAGACAATTCATTTCTTATAGTAGAACTTCTCTTTTTTCCCCAAATTGTTTTTTTGCTGTAAAGGTCCCTTTGTCCAATTTAGTATCATCTTTGACAAAAGACCATTTGAAATCAAGACTATTATAGCAAGACCTTATTCATTCTATGACCTTAAATGTACAGTGACCTTGTGATAGGTATATATATAACCTAGATTGATGATGCAATATTCCTGGAGATAAAAGTCTTTAGTAACAGTGACAATTTAAGCCATTTTCAGGTCTTCGAAGAAAAAGTGGCATAAAGTTTTATGTTTATGTACAAAGCTATTACATTTAGGTGGATACACCATTATGAATTCTACCTGTCACACCCATTTTCAGGTCAAAAGGTTAAGGTCGCTTGGACACCAGTATTAATAGAATATAAAACTGGCCATTAAATCAATGTGAATTGAAGCATGCAACTTGATGAGTTCTACCAGCTACACCAATTTTCATATCAAAAGGTCAAATGCGGCGTTTCACTGGGACCTGTAGTACCAAAACAAAAAACAAAGTACATTGATTGGGGAACTTCAAACTCTAGTCCTACCACCCATACATATTTTCTTCAGGAGGGTCACATAGTATTTGGCAAATGGTTATAATCTATTATCTACTTTTTGTTATTCATGGATAGATGCATATATGTGAAGCACATTGACATGATGTGTGACAAACAACACTAAAGTTTAAAGATGAAAGGTCACACTTAGATTTAAAGGAATTTTTTCATAAAATGCATTGGTGTGTCAAGGCATCAATTCTGTTATACCTTGACGGATTGATGGATTGAATGATTATGCATAAATATGATGGACATGATGACAACATACATCTATTTAGAAAATTTGCAATTTATTATCAAGCACTGAGAAAGTGGAGTGTTCTTCTTGTTTGACAGCTCTTGTTTTACTTTAATGCCACATGATTTCTTTACTGCAGACAGTTGAATTTAATCAGACTATTTCTTTTCAAAGTATGTCTGACATAAATGTAAATAAAAGCTGTCCAGTATTTGTAACCTCAATAGATAAAGGATTGGACTGTGAATTGGGTGACCTAAGTTTGTTTCCTGATATGGTCATGCAAATTGTACCTCTGCTCTGGCATGTACTGAAGTAATCAGTTCCTTGCAAAAGTGAAAGCAACTAACACTGGTAAACTGCTTGACAGCCAGCCAATGAAGAATGTGGTGGCTGAACTGTGCTCTGGTAAATTCATTGTGGCTTACTGCTGTGATCAGGAGTGAAAACTACCAACACCACCACCACATAAATTTAAGGTTTGACTGTATTCATTGATATAAATGGCTGATGAGCAAGCCATTAAAGGAAAAAGAGTTCTTATTTCTATTTTATCAAATCTTTACAAATATGGTCAGCTTAAAAAACATGTATATTTTAATATATTTGATACTAAAATAGTTCCAATATTATGCTATGGATCTGAATTATGGGGGTCGATTGAACATAAAAGTATAGAAACCGTACATAATTATGCATGTAAAAGATACATGTGTGTTAAACAATCAACTGCAAATGCATCAGTTTTAGGAGATTGTGGCCGTTATCCATTGTACATAACTACTGCATCAAGAGTTTTAGTATATTGGTTAAAGATATTAAGTTTACCAAATGATCGATATGTCAAACAATGTTATAATATGTTACTTATATATGATAGGAATGGAATGAAAAATTGGGCTACTAACATTAAACAACTACTTTATACAAATGGTTTTGGATATGTTTGGAATAATCAGGGAGTTGATAATAAGAAATTGTTCCTAAAAATATTTACAGATAGAATGAGAGATCAATATAGGCAGAACTGGCAAGAAAAAATAAATCAAAGTAAAAAGTTAGATTCATATCGTTTGTATAAATCTGAATTTATCCATGAGACATATTTATCTGTTGTTTTAATTCGTAAATTTAGAAATGCACTTGCAAAATTACGTACTTCATCACATGATTTAAATATTGAAAGAGGTAGATATAGACAAGAAGAGAGATCTGAGCGTATATGTAATTTATGTAAAGTTTCAGTAGAAACAGAATATCATTTTGTAATGGTATGTACGGCTTATGAAAATTTAAGATCAAAATACTTACCAAGCAAATATTTTGTTAATCCTAATATTCATAAATTTAATATCTTAATGAGTTGTCAGGCTGAAAATATTATAGAAAATTTGGCAAAGTTTGTGTTCCATGCCTTTGAAGAAAGAAAAAGATTATTATGTGTTAGAACATGAATAAATATGATAAACACCACTAGATAGTAAAAAGATTTTGTTTAACATAATGATATAATGTACTATATTCCATTGTATGAAATTGTATTGCTATGTTTATGTTGTTTTGGGCTAGAGGCCTTGAATCAATAAACTATTTGTCATTGATATATCATTTGTTATCCACATGTTTGTCAGTTCATTTGTTATCCACATGTTTGTCAGTAACTACAGTAACATATTGTTGTAGTTGTGTTTTATGCATACAAAGTAAATATTTTTCTTGCTTTACAAATATTGTATGTTTACAGCTATTGTTTATGAGATGTTGTACCGTAATGTATTCAAGCTGGATACAGAATTGACGGAAGCTGTTGCACTTATACGAGACCAAAACAAGAGGAAACTGACCATGTATGGCAACAGGTATCCAGCCCCTTTTCTTCAGCCAGTTTTTGGTACCTGTATTTTATATTATATGTACACATTCCTCCTCAAGGACATGAATGCCCTCTTTTTGGTAGCGGGATTGCTTTTACAGGGTTGAGGCATCAAAAATGCAGTCACTGTTTTTCCCTGTGTGATTGTAAGAGGCAGCTAAATGGGTTTTAATTAATGGAGTCTTTGCATCTCTTAGCTCCAGCAGGTGAGGTAATTATGACCCCTGGTGTTGCTTCAAGTTTGTAACACCAGAGGTTAGCCAAAATCATCCTTACTGTTTCGGCGCAATATGACCTAAACTATGTGGGTGCGCTGTAAAACCAAACAAATCCTCAATGGTGTATATTACTCCTAAAAATAAAGATCCAAAGATGGAAACATGAAAGCAAAATGTCTCTTCTGGTTCAAGGTTATCTTTTATTATTAATTTATAATTCATATATTTTAATAATATTTTATGCTGAAGTTTCTAATTTCTTTAAATGTAGTTTTCTTTCTTTATGTTTAGATCTCTATAAATTTCTACAATTTGTATTTTCTCTCTCTTCAAGATGTGAATTACTTTTTAATTTCAAGCCTTTTCCATAGATTTGGATAATTATAGGAATGAGACTTTATCATTTTACTTCTTGACATCTTAGATAAATTGATTTTGCCATCATTTTATGATTTATTGGCTTGACTATTTTGAAGAGAAAGCCAAACTGTTCTGAGCACTGTGTCATTGTTGTGCCAATAAAGCCCATTACAGGAAAAGTCATACTTATAGTTTATACTTTGTTTTTCAAAATTGCTCATTAATAAAATAGAATGATTCCAAAATTATCAAAGGTATCAAAATGAAACCTGGAATGCTTGCTTATAATGCACATCAGTAAGACAAAAGGCATTCTTCTGAAAGCTTTATTTTTGCAGTAAGTGACACCAAAATTGGAATACTTGAATATCATGACAAGGTTTGCTTTCTATAGTTGTCAGATCCAGAAAAGAATTTTGTAATATGTCCCGTTTTAACTTTGTTATCAGGCATTTTTTTTGGCTTATTTTATAGCCGTTATTGGGTCATATTTCCAATTGAAAATAGTATATTATTTTCCCAATTCACAGGAAAAAATTCCCAATTGAAAGTTAAATAATAAAAATATTGAATAAAAATTCTAAAATCTTTGCAAATAAGGGCTTCTTCTCTGTAATAGTGCTTAAATGTTTGAAGATGCCATCCTAGACAGTATTTGTTTGCATCCCTTTAATCACTGCAAAATTTCAGTCATGTCATTTTTTCCCAATTTTTAACAAAATACCGCTGAAATTTCCAATTTCATGAGTATGGGTCGTGTTCCCAAAATCCTGGAAAAAATCCCTGGTTATTGACCAAATTTTGTTAAAATTTGATATTGACAGAAAAATTCACCTGTCAAAGTTATTGTATTTATTCCTGGGCATACTTGTTATGGGGTCAAGTCACACCTGTGGGACCAGGGATATAACTAAGTGGTTTTTATCTCTAGAATAATGCCTTTTGAGGGATATATCTAAGTGGGTAGTTTTTCTAGAATAATGATTGCCTTTTTTTCACACCGGGAAAATGGATATTTTTATTAATACCAATATCTTAAAAATTCACATCACAAAGCCATTCATCTTAATGATAAATTAATCTGCCTTTAAAAGAAAAGATTTTGGTGCTCCTGTTATTATCTAATTATTTGTTTTGTGATTTTATGATCAGTTTTTAGTCTTTAAAAGTTTCATATTATAACAAGAGATTCATCACCTTATCCTGTACAACAATCTCTCTGCATTGTTTAGAGATAATATATATTTATTTTATATATCTAAAGTCACTGTAGCAGATGGGATATGTTAATTCATAAAAACCAGACACTTTAATTATCTTGGTAAATTGTAGATATCTGAACATATAATAACCTTGGATATTCTGGTTTTGGTTCTCTTGTTTCAACTATCATATAATCTGGAGGAAAAATGAAAAACACAAAAATCATTGGGTATTGGGTGACTGGTTATTCCTCATCCGAGACGTGTATATACATAATATGGGACAGGGTTTTAGTCCTTATTCTAAGACCCGTTTGTAAAAGGCACAATTTGCCTCAGAAATTCATTTATATTTTTTAATTCTTTAGAAATGTCAGACATGTGTTTAATAATGTTTTAATAATGGATTTAAAGCTTTTTTGATGTTATATAACTGATGAAAGTAGCTCTGTACATGTAGAAATATGTTGTTTGTTTGTTTGTTTTGGGTTTTATGTCACACCGACACAGAATAGGTCATTTGGCGACGTTCAAGCTTTACTGGTGGAGAAAGACCTCGGGTGCCCTTCCGTGCATTATTACAGGCACGAACAGGCACCTGAGTCGAACCACTGACATTCAGTAAGCTAGCTGGATAGCTCCCTCCCATGAAAGAATCCAAAGTTCCTTTCAGGATTCGAACCCACAGCGGTGAGGGAGTAATATGTTGTAAAGGTAGTAAAATGTGAAAGTAGTATTGTGACTTCCTTACAAAATACTGATTCACTATAATTATACAAATTGATAACAAAGCAAAAGTAGCAAGGATAGTTCATGGATGTATCTTATATACATCCATGAACTATGTGCTGTTGCAGCAACTGTAACAAGATACCAAAAATTGAAGGTTTTTAGCTCGACTATTAGCAGATTATTTGAGCTAATGCAGTCACCCATTTGTAGGTTTTGGCGTCAGCGTCAATGTGGTTAAGTTTAAAGTAAGCAAGTATCTCCATAACTACTGAAGGGAATGGATTGAAACTTCACACACTTGTTCTCTGTGATTATCTTACATGATTGGCACAAGTCCCATAACTCTGATTTGCTTTAATTGCATAATTATGCCCCTTTTTCGACTTAGAAATTCTTGGTTAAGTTTTTGCGTGTAAGCAAGTATCTCCATAACTACTGAAGGGAATAGATTGAAACTTCACACACTTGTTCTCTGTGATTATCTAACATGATTGGCACAAGTCCCATAACTCTGATTTGCTTTTTTGCATAATTATGCCCTTTTTTCGACTTAGAAATCCTTGGTTAAGTTTTTGTGTGTAAGCTGGTATCTCCATAACTACTGAAGAGTTTGTATATTTTTTGGACAATTTTATGCATTCATAATAATAAAGCAGTGATTTACTCAATAAAACACCCTAATAACAAGCCTTTGTACCTTTTTGGACAATTTTATGTATTCATATAGGAATTATACTCGATGAAACACCCTTGTGGCAACTTTTTCGAATAGTCGAGCGTCACTGTACTCCGACAGTTCTTGTTGAGAAATAAAATTGATAGCATTTCTGAGGCATAATGGGCCTTTAAGTGAATACTGATAACTGTATGTAATTGGTATACCATACCCACCCTCTTCAATGTTCAACCAGTTTGTGTTCTAACAGGGATCAAGTTTTGAATATAATTTAAAATTGCAAAAATGGTTTTGTGTTACGTATATCATGTTTTAATTAAGTTCAGTTAAAGCATTATTGCGAGTCAGAAAAATATAAGGTCACTATAGGAAGTTATAGCGTAAAATGTTTTGTTATTTTAGGTTTGAAGAACTAGAAGACTCCTGTTTAAAGAAATTTCAAGACATGCATTGCTCTATTAGGGTAAGAGAAGTAAATTCCTAATACTTAAAAAAAATTAGTTTAGAAGAGTCTATATATTTTCAGGAGAAGAAAGTATATCAAAATCTATCATTGGACAATACTTCTATTGTTGTAATGATTTAGACATTTTCTATCTGGAATCTTTTGATAATTGAATTAGAACATAGCATTTATATGGGAACAATTTATCTAATTAAAGGATATTGTAACTCAATTTTTGGCCATGTTGCACAGGTGCAAAACCGGGTTATAGTATGGTGAATGTCGGGCGGTGGGCCAGCAGTTGGCAGGCATGCGGGAATAATTTATTTAACAGTTTTCTCAGCAACTTCCATTTCCTATTTGCAGACTTAGTTAAATTTTCTGCATTAATGGCCAATGGTAGGAAATTATCATAACAGTTTTCTCAGCAACTACTTATCACAGTCTTTTGATATTTGGTATTCAGCACCCATACCATGGGATTTGATTTCAGGTCTGTCGCTCATCCACTCCCTGTTTGCTGACATAGTTAAATTTTTCAACATTTATGGTCAATGTAAGGAAATTTTTGTAACTGTTTTCTCAGCAACTACTTAACACAGCCTTTGATATTTGGTATATAGCATTGACACGGTCCCATTCTGTGGGAATTGATTTCAGGTCTGTCTCTTATCCACTTCCTGTTCAAATAGAAATCATTTTAAAGAATTTAAAAAAAATGTCTTTGTTAATTTTATCAGTAAAAGATTTTCCGATGTATACAAACTTGTATTATCTTGAGGTCAAACATTTGGCATTTAGTCAAAGATTAATATGAAAGAATATTGTGTAAAAAACACTTTTAGAATGTGTTGAAGTTTAAAATAAACCACATTATCTTGATTAGTTATAAAGTAAGCATATTTTGTGGTCAGTATGATATTTTAGCTGTTGTTTAATTAGCATTGGTTACATTATTCATGTTGATGTCATACCCCTGTGTCAGCTGTATATGATAATTAAAATATGGGGTAACTGGCAGCAGCTGTGGTAGTTTGGTATAACTAAACTTGCATTAGGGTACCATAGTCACTCTTTAAGACTCCATTTAGATGAGGATATTACCATTAATGTGGCAACTGTTGGAGAAATTATCAATTTTGTTGTAACATTTGTAATTATGTTTATATACAGCCTCTCTTTGTTACATCACTTTATTATACTAAGACTAAAAGAAACTGTCATATTCCATACACTATAACATTTAGATAATCATGTAAAAAAAATGAACAAACTATAATTTTTAAGGAAAATATATGTTGAATAACAAAGTTACTGACAAAAAAAACATAGTGAATATTCTGAAAGAACCAAGTTTAAAGTCTTAATGCCTAATACAGTAGATGCAATAGCACACTTAACATTATAATTGATATAAGAGTATTCTAAATAGTGTATTAAAAGATATATCAGCATATTGAACATTGTAATAGATACAACTGTTACAGCGTTATGAACATTGTAACAAATATAACAGCATATTGAACATTGTAATAGATATAACAGCATATTCAATATTTTAATAGATATAACAGCATAATGAACATTATAATAGACATAACAGCATAATGAACAGTATAATAGATATAACAGCATAATGAATATTTTAATAGATATATTATAACAGCATATTGAACTTAGTTATAGATATAACAGCATAATGAACATTGTAATAGACATTACAGCATAATGAACAGTATAATAGATATAACGGCCGGATTATTGAAAATTATAACAGATATAACAGCATAATGAACATTTTGGTAGATAGAACAGCATTATGAACAATGTTATAGAAATAACAGCATATTGAACTTTGAAATACATATATAAGCATCATTGAGCATTGTAATATATGTAACAGCATAATGAACATTTTAATAGATATAACAGCATAATTATTGAACAGTGTAATAGGTATAACAGCATAATGAACATTGTAATAGATATAACAGCATAATGAACATTGTAATAGATATAACAGCATAATGAACATTGTAATAGATATAGCATAATGAACATTGTAATAGATATAACAGCATATTGAACATTGTAATAGATATAACAGCATATTGAACATTGTAATAGATATAACAGCATAATGAACATTGTAATAGATATAACAGCATAATGAACATTTTGGTAGATATATCAGCATTATGAACATTGATATATATATATAAGCATTATTGAACATTGTAATATATATAACAGCATATTGAACATTTTAATAGATATAACAGCATATTGAACATTGTGTAGATATAACAGCATAATGAACATTGTAATAGATAGAACAGCATAATGAACATTTTGGTAGATATATCAGCATTATGAACATTGATATATATATATAAGCATTATTGAACATAGTAATATATATAACAGCATATTGAACATTTTAATAGATAGAACAGCATAATGAACTATGTTATAGGTATAACAGCATATTGAAAATTATAATAGATATAACAGCATAATAAACATTGTGGTAGATATATCAGCATTATGAACATTGTAGTAGATATAACAGTATATTAAACAATGTAATAGATATTACAGTAAATTAAGCATTACAGCACAATAAACATTGTAAAAAGAAGATGGATTCTGCCTGTCTGCAAATGAGTAGATGGTCGATTAGTAGGTTACTATACGAACCAACACTCTTGTACTACATGTAAATTTGATACAATCTGAAAAAGAATAAATGAAATTTAAGTAGTTGATTGATTTAGCCTTCCAATAAGTGATTGATTTAGCCTTCCAATAAGTGATTGATGTAGCCTTCAAATAAGTGAATTCTCAATGATGATATTATTGGAAAAATCTAGTTTATAAAGAAAAAAGATTTGGGGGCTGGGTCAACTTCAGGATGTCTAGCTTAAAGTTTTTTTATGATGAAAAATCAAGAAAATGTCTTAACTATAGTCTGTCCCATCAAATTTGAACATTCCATTTTTTATTAAATAAAATAGTAAAATCATTTAAATTAATGTCTTGTTAACCCTGACGTCAATATCTCTAGGCATGTTTTTCATTTTTTTCATAAAGCCAGTTATATGGTCAAAATGTTAAAATTATATTTTTTCCCGTTGACTTACGTTGTAACCTAACGTGACGTCCATTTCAAAAGGGCGGCGCCCATATAGAGGTCATTTAGGGTTCGTCTCACAATTAGCGGGAATGTACTCAGTAATTATAAAAAATTGATTATTCTTATTTACTTACTGATCAATAGCTAAATGTTATCATTAAAATGAAAAATGAGAACAAAGTTGGTGTCAAGAAGGCAATTTTACTAGCAAACCATAATTTAAAATAATCAAAATCATTTGAAGTGAAAATATCAGTTACCGCTTTATAAATTCTAACACACAAAGATTTAATTAATTGTAACCATCATATACTGTCGTATTTTATATATTTTTTAAGAGAAAAAAGAACAATGAAGTGATTTGATTAGATAACTTTTCAATCAAGCGCGTATCTTGAATAACGCAAGCGGGAACACTAGCTAATACTATAAAAATGGTTCTTCGCTTATTAATGTTTAATTTACATAATTATGTAGTTGTCTGAATTTTGTCCGTATGTATCGCGTCTATTCAAAAATAATGAAATTGACCAGGTTCGATGGGATACAAAAATATGTTACCCTTCTTATTTCGCTTGCGATGTTCGTGCGCTAAAATTTTCGGTAGGTTTTAACTTTCACAAGAAATCGTCAACAAATGCAAATCAGACAAGTAATATATAGAAAGGAAAACTGATTCACTATACGTTCAGCATTGAAAATGTAAATTATAAGAATATAATATCATGCTTTCTAGTTTGAGCAATCAAACGTATACACTTTAAGCTCGTAAATACAGATTTAACTTTCCGTCTCACTATTCAACAAAATGTCCAGAAATACCGGCAGTAATAAGTTTGAATTGGAGTGTTCAATAAGAGACAATAAGTGTGTGTTTTTGTAGACTCAAAGTGTTCCATATAATTATTTTGTTAATATCACAGATTTATATTACATGTAATAATATGAAGGGGAGATCGAGTCAAAGAGAAACACCGAGTGACGTTCTCAATAATTTTAGCCCTCCTAAAATTTGAAAAAATTCAGTGAAAAAACAATAGATCTAGCATATTTTTTCGCAGGAGAAAAAATACCGCGTATTGTATATTTTGTAGGTTAAAGAGTAGGATTTACAGAAGTCTTGAATAACGAGATAATATGTAGGGAAATCATTTCTGAGAAATATATAAAATAGTTTAAAAAGATAAAATCAAAACGAATGTTATATGTTATTAATGGAAGAAGTATTGTACTGTTGTAGATTCATGTCATTAAGTGTGTTTAAAATTATTTAAATGTTATCAAAAGTTTTATTATTAAAACATTAATTGAATTTTTACAGTTAAGTTGCAAAATCTGGGTATGCAAAAAATATTTTAAATGCCATCAAGACAAATTTATCTCAATGCCTAAAATTATCTGTTTGAGGTTACATATATGCCTAACCGCCCTCTGTCAATGCCACAACTGGAATCACCCATAAAAGCGCGAGGCAATTTTGTTACGTCATATATTTCGTTGACGTAATAAATTTTTCGTCGGGAATCCATTTTCAAGAGTTATAAACATTGTGATGTTGACATCTTAAATTGATGGGCCATTCTTGAATTATGGATTTGGAACATGCTGAATTATGATGTGTTTCATTTACATATTTCATTTGCTAACCCAGATAACTGCACAAATTGAACAATATTTTAATAATGAGACGGATAAACAGTTTAAAAATCTGGATCATCAAAAGTGTAGGAGTCATGTCATTCAGGAGTTTTGAAGTAAAAAAAGTGGGATCTACGGAACTGGATAGAAACTGGCAATGAAGGAATCTTCAGAATGTGAATTTGTCGTGACATTTATAAAGGTCTATTTTGAAATTCATAGAGATTCTATTCAGCTTAAAAGTAAGTGCAATTTCTAGATCTCCTCCATGTGACTCGATGTTCTTGTTGCTTTTTTTTTCCATTTTTTAAAGTTTTCCATTATGCATTGCAACTAAACTGTTACATCTTGTAGATCCAGCTTTGTAAAATAATCATGAAACGACCCCCAAGAACCTCATGTATATTTTAGAAACATGACACGTGCTTTCTCCCGTTCATCTTCAAATGAAGAGTACTTCGGCAATGGCTACGGAAAATAAACAACAGAGATTTACCATAGAGAAATCAAAATTTGCTTTCACAAGAAAAGTAGACAATTTAGAGTAAAATCCTGAAAAATCTCGAAAGTGACTTTTTTTTAGTTTACAAAAATAGTTAAATTTTTATTCAACCTTGTTTTGTTAATTCACACCATGCAAAAGTTCATTTCCATTTTTAATGGGACAGACTAGTATTTTTCTTGTTTTAAATACCTGACATTTGAACCATTGAACTGTATGGGAATATAGAGCTTTTTTAGGGAAAGTTTGCCCGCAAGGTTATCACATCTGAATTTCTTAAGAAACTACAGCATTCTTTGCAACATTTGTCATGGAAACAAAAGATTAAAATCTTTTTTTGTGTCGAACAGAAGTTACGCTTTCAAGGTACATTAGATTTAAACATTAAAGATTCCATAAAGTGTAGGAAGAACAAAAGGCTGCAGAACAGTAACTGTATGTAAAACATTGATTACTATGGCAACAGCTTGTGCCTATCTCTTTTTTGAGTTGAAAGCTTTAGGTGACAGTTCATCATGTGATTTTGATCCATGTTAAAGAGGGAGTAATGGACTTAAGTGATAAATATATTGATTGTTTGAAGATGTGAAACATTCAAGTCTTTAAGGTAGCCATTCTGGTTCTTTAATTTTGAATTTATAATCGGGTAGGTCACCAGCAATTCGGTAACGAACTGAAATGTAAGAAAATAGCTAGCAGGAGTTTTATTCATGGTTCATGGAACAACATTTATCAAAGACTAAAGTATGAACTCAAATAAACATATATTTGTTTCTAGCATTTGTTTTCTATTCCTTACATAGGGGACAGTCTTTAACTTCTCTGTTTTTAAATTTTTTAATTTTGAATATGATTATAGTTTCAATCTATTGCCTGTAAGTTTTTTTTTTCTATGACTTGATAAATTTTGAAAATCCTACATTATCATAAATGTATACTATTAAAAACATAATTCAATTCCATGCTAAATGTAAGTTACAGACGAAACGTTCCATTTTTCAACAGAATTTCAGTGATTACATTAATTATGTTCTTAATCTATTACCCACGCACATTTCTGTGGTCTGTCCGTCATGAGCAAATTTTCATTCATGTATCGAGGATATGATTATTAATATTTTTTTACATAATCTTACTAAATGTAAGCTTGCATCTACTTATTTATAATTGTTGCATGTATAACAGCTGTACACTGTTAACCCAACTTGAAAAGACAAACAATCAGTAGCATTTAATGTTGCCATATTTACCTTAAAACAGATCAATGAGATTGGTATGTATTGGTGTATTTTCTTCCCTTGCTGTGTCCCATAAAGGCATCAATAGGCGATACACATGCATAATTTTGTATGATATGGGTGACTAGTAAAACATAGTAAAATGGATTAGGACATTTCATATTTTACGACTAAATTATTATAATAAACCATCTCCTCCTGTATCTAGATTGTGAGCAATAATTTGTTTAACATTTATACGGGTTTTGAAATTTAGACATTGTAGATTAAAGACAGATCATTTTGTTTAAGAACTGAAAATGGATATAGATCTGTAGTGTAACAGGATATCGGAAGCAGCAGAAGTTTGCCTATTGTTAGGATAACGTTTTTGAGATTTGCTTTGATAAAGCGTTTACTTGAAAACTGTTTTAACAGCGATTGTAACTGCTGTAAAAGTGAAAAAATAAACGATTTTCTTAAAAGACATGTCAATATGTTTAGATTAAAGCAGAGATAGGATCCAGCTGTTGTGAATTGTATTTGAATATTCATATGTAAGAAACGTGTTGTTTGATTAGTTAGTGATGGTTTTATAATTGTTGTTTGCTACAGGACCGTAACTTACGTAGAATATCACCACCAGTTCCGTACAGGATAGCTAAGGCACTGGACCCGTGTATCTATAGAAACGTAGAACTGGATATCTGGGAAGAAGAGAAAAGGGGTATGTTTTGATTTTCTTGTTTATTTCTTCATATCATCATGACAAGAAATAGGAATTTCTTTAGAAATTAAATTTAAGATAGAGAATATCTACTGAAGACACTGATGTTAAAATGTGGTTGCTAAAGAATCCTGAAAAAAAAAAATTACATATAAAAATGACGATGCATAATCTTAATGGATATTCTAAACAAAATTCAAATATTTTGGATGTAGATTATGAATATGGTACGAAGTGAAATTTGAAAATGACACTTGTTCTTATTTTGGTTTGACACTTTTTAATTTTATGTTATTTTTGTTCTATTATTTTTTATGGCAGTTTTTAACCTACATCCTAGATTTGAATATATCTTATTTTATATTTTTCGCATTTATAATTTCTTTTTCTTTCAAGCCACTGCTTTTTAATCATTTTGCCATAAATAATTGATCATAAAAAATTCACTTGGCCATATAAATTTCTTACTTTAGATGTAGATACTACTATGATTCAGATCTGTATAAGGTTATAATTTTAAAGTAATTTTAACAGACTGGATAATGATGAATTTTGAGAAATGGTGAAATCATTTTTACAGAAAAGCTGATTTCTTAATTAACACTTAATAAACTATAAAATTGCAGATTGACTTAATATACTGTACTTCTATATCTACAACACTTTAAATAAACTGTAAAATTGCAGATTGACTTTATTAAATTAATATACTTCTTTATCCACAACTCTTTTATAAGTGAAGCACTATAATGTATATTTACAAATAAACAGTAATTTGACACTTTGATAGTGATAAATCCGTAACACAGCCCGTAACACAGCCTGTTATCTTCTAGTTGGGTTGAACCTGGGAAAAGATAATTATTTACTTTAATAACATAACATGATGATATCATAAAATTATATTATTAATATTTAAGAGTTTATCAAAATTTTGACCCATTAGATATTAATAAATCTGATCAGTATGCTTACATCAATTTTGTTACAACAATCGAGACTCCCCAGAATTCAACAACTCTGTCTAATAGCGGATCTTGTTTCAGTCTGCCCATAAATAAATGACTCCAGTGTCTTATGTGACAAGCACCCATGATCATAATGGTGATCATTATGTAAATCTTTTGTAGATGTCAGAATTTTATTTTTTATTTCCTTTTGGTTTGTGTTTCCTTGGTTAAGTTATTTTCAAAGTTTATCATAGGTTTATTTTACAATGCACCGAAGATAATTTCATACTACTTCTTGAATTTTCATTCTTCAACCTATGCAACAAAAATTAGTTAAAACACACTCGCACATACATGAACTTAAAAAAATAAACATTTGATTTGATAAGAACAAAGCATTTAGATACTTCACAGTTGAAGGAAACAAATAAAAAGTATTCATTCATCTGGCATTATTATATCTTTAAAGTATTTGATGTTTAATTAACAAGTTATCAAAATTTGTATGATTTAGTTTTATTATATTCTGGTCATAAATGAAAATAATGAAAGTTTACCATCTTTTTTTTAAAAAAAAACATTGACTGTTAAAGGGTCTCAAATTTTATCTAATGAAAATGGGCCCCACCCCAGCGGTCATAGAAAAAAAAAACTTCTCAAAAGTGCTATAGAGCTTAGATATTTGGTATGTAACATTATCTAGTGGGTTTGTACCAAGTTTCTATTGGGTCAAAATTGGCCCAGTTGCAGGGGTCATGGGTTTTTCTAATATGTATATTATATTAACTAAGGAGCCAGAAAAAACTTTAAAAAAAAAACTCATCTCTGAAACCTCTTAGACTAGAGCTTAAATATTTGGCTTGTGTTGTGGGCAGACCTCTACCATAAGTTTGTTCAAATTATAGCTCAAGGGTCGAAATTGGCTCTACCCAGGGTTATGGGTTTCCAGAGACCCTTGGTTCGAGTCCCGGCTGCGGTGTGCCGATTTTTCGTGCAATTTTTCTATATATATATATATAATAACTTTAAAAATCTTTGACTTGAAAAATGCAAGGGCTTTAGGGTATTTGGCATACATCATTGTCTAGTGGGTCTTTACTAAGTTTGTTCAGCACCATTCTCTAGTGGGTCTTTACCAAGTTTGTTCAAATTATTGCCTTAGAGTCTAAATTGGAAATGGGAAACATGGGTTTCTTCAGTGTTGTTATATTTTCTGGTCCTTCGGGATCATTGATGCCAACACTATAAAGTGTTGAGAATTGAGTACCGCTCAAGCCGGTGCTAGGGGGCGAAAGGGATGTTGCACTTAATCATTATCCCTCATGTACAGACTCAATCAAACCGTATCTGCGATTCTTATGTTATTTTGTTGTGATTAATGCTTCCGAGGGATCACTTTGTTTCCAGAATTTTTTGTTCCTTATAATATATGTATATGATTAAAACTTAACAACTCTTTTTCTGAAACTTCACAGGCTATATAGCTTATATATCTGGCATGAAACATTGTCTAGTTGACCTTCTGTATAATTAGACCCCTGCCCCTACATGACCCAGTGACCCCCTTTTTGTATTTAAAGCTACAGGTATAACATAAATTTGACTACATTAGGGCAGGCAAAATTTGATTTTGACTAATTTGTCCATTTTCATCAGAAGCATTTCTAATGTTGTCTGTCTGATATATATATATAGCTAATTCTTGAAAATGTCGACTTGTCCATTTGGACTATGGGACTTACCTTGGCAATACAAACGATTGGTTATGTTGCTCGTCACAAGTGCTAGTGCAAAATTAAACTTTAATGTCAGTTACCTAAGATTTTGTCAAGTGACTTTTTTTGGTATTTTGAACTATATGCAAATTTTCAGATGTTGAATTTAACTTTGACATTAGTTGACCAAGATTTGACCCAGTGATCTACTTTTTGTAAATAGAGTAAAATGTTGACCATTTGCACAGTTTAAGCAAGGATTTTAATCATTAACAATGATTGTGTGCATGCACCATTCGCTCATAATGAAAAAATACTAACATATTTCTTTCATACAGGTAATTTGGATTTACACTGATACAAAATTCAAACAAAAAATCTGTAAATTGCAGGCAGCAGAGATATAGCTTTATACGCTTAAAGGTACACTATAGAAATAACAACAAAAAATTGTCAGATATTGGAAAGTTTTACTTATTCACCAAAGAAAAGCACATCTAAAGATAAATTTGTTAATTAAAACTGGTGTCTGTCATTTTTGATGAAACATGAAGAGGGTGGGTTCAGGAAACCATTCATATTTTGTCATTTATCAATTGGGGCATCATTTTTTTTTCAGAAGTAATTATTTACACACTGTTTTGAACATGGGGAGGATTACCATCCTGATTACCAAATATAAACATTTTAAATTATGAAACTACCATAATTGCACACATTTCACGCTTAAAGTCATATAACAAAACTTTAAATATTTCTTAAATAAAGATTTTTCAAGAAAATTAAAATAAACCATTACACTTTCCAGATAATAAAGAAATGATAAGAAAAAAAGTACAAAAACTGAAAATGAATACTCTTCAGAATTTTTTACAAAAAGAAAAATGTCCTTGTTCTGGTTAAATTTCAAAGAGGTGCTCTTTTGCTAAGAATTCAAATGTAATACAAAAAGTACTTGAATGTATTTAATGCAGAAAGTTCTTAAAATACAAGATAACTGTTAACAGAAAATATGCATTTCTTTTCTCATTTCAATATTTGATATAATTATCTTTTTGCTCTCTGAAATAAATTTATCTATTAGCTACATTAATTATCCATTATTTTTTAAACTACACTGTTATTTTACTAGAATTTAAAAATTCCAATTTTGGTAAATAGTATTGAGTTTCAACTAAGTAATCATTTTAATCTTAGCCAGAATTTTCAACAAAAAAGCTGGTACTAAAAGATAGGTTAATGCCAGTGAGTTGATAGGTTCAAAACAATTTTTACTGTTCATAATTTCTACATTTGTGAAAGGATTTCTCCACACAATGACTGGACTATTGTTAATTGCCTTGGTATAATCATATTGTGGGGATTTTATGAATTGATTTATTTTTTTGGCAGAATTAATAGCCCTTTAAATCAGCTAAATTCGTCTCAAGATTCTTTGAAGATGGACTTTCATCATGGGCAGTGCTCTAGGTAAATGTTAAATGGAACAGTTGTCAAGATAAATAGCCATTATTATTCAAATATTTAGTAAATAGGTTTGTTTAAAAATGATGTCAATTTTCATAATAATTTATTTTATTTCAGATAATTTAGATGACTTTTAACACTTAACTTGAATATATTTAGGTATGATTATTGCCAATTAGTAATACTAATGATCCTTCAAATCAATGGAGAAACTATAAAACCATTCAGTTGTGTTAAAAAATTTAAAAAGAATTTCACTAATCAGCACTCTCCAAGTAAATTACATATCAATATTAGTAAAAATTTTATTAATGTTGCAAACCACTTAATTTTGTGTCTTGTTTAGAATTTTTTTTTTCAATGGATGTTGCACAACAGATTCATGGCTCGTAAAATGAACAGTTTACTTTCTGATGAGGGATTTTAGTAAGTCATTTACTTTTATTTGTGAAAAAAAAACATGCATTTGAGGTTATAATATATATGTACTCGGTACCAAAAAGTTATAAAATAATTTTACCTATATTATAATATAGGCTACAGCAAAAAACATAGGATGATTTGACATAGCTTATAATATAGGCTACAGCAAAAACCATAGATTGATGTGTCACGGTATTGCAAAAATGTAAATATACTCATACTTTATAGTATATAGTGTACTCTTAAATTGTAAGTTTAAATTGTAAGTATGACCAAGATTATAATTAAGGTACTGTTAAGTTATGAATATGACATAGATAATAACATAAAAATTATGGTACTACAAAATGTTATGTTTGACTTTGTTTGCAAAATTGTAAATATAAAAGGATCCAAAGACCCAATTTGGTCATAGCTTTGATAGATGAAAGTTTCTTAGTAAGTGAGCATTACATCTTAGCCACTGAGACAATTGAAAAAATGTAGAACTATTTCTATATGATAATATTGTATCCTCTCTTTTTGCAGGTTTCAGCTTTTAGTTATGATAAAAATTGAATAAAATTCATAATTATGCCACTTTTATTGAACCAGATTTAGACAAACACAAGTCAGGTTTACATTTTAATTTATGTATATGTTTGCATCAACCTGGGTATCTGAAAGAAATGTTACATTTGTCAAAATATACAAAGATACATTTTATATAGGTGTTCATCATTTAAAACTCAGATCAATTTTTCTTTTGCTCTGTGTAAAATGTATACATTGCACTTGTTCTTTTATAATTATATTTACCTAGTTTTAATAAGGTTTTCTTCTTTGTAAGATGATGGCACACCTTTTTCATTTTCTTTAACATTACTATAATATATATATATATATATATATATATATATATATATATATATATATATATATATATATATAATATATATATATATATATATATACAATACAAATGTAAGTGTGATGAGATATATATATATATATATCTCATCACACTTATATTGTATTGATAAGATAGTCATACCAACCAGCCATTGCATTGTTTCTTCTGTTTGAAAAAAAAGAGTAAAAAAGCTTCATATTCTTTTGCTTTATTAGAGAGAAACCTGTGACCATTATATAAACTATGGCAATGAAAAGAAATCATCAAATTGCGAAAGTAAAATAAGCATTATTATTGTTGCTTTCGTATAATGTTCATCACATTAGTGAGGCATTACATAAAATCAATATCATTTCTGTTAATATATTTGAAGTAGTCATTTGCAATTGTACCCAAAATGGGCAATAAAAACTGGAGAGTAAATGTTTTATAGATTGATATGTGCAAGGTCGTGTCCAGGTGCCAAGGTTATAAAGAAATTCTCAAAACTCAGATCTCGGGTATATGATTGGTCAAAACCGTCTCAGAATGTACGCTGGCCAAGAGGTTTGAGACAGAACTAAGAAAAAGTTTTTATAACCTTGAGATTCAAACACTGCCGCCAGGGTCTCAGATTTAGTGGTCACTAGTAGTTACATTAGTTGGAGAAGTGTTGGGCTTTGATCACAATTTTCTTTGTTTGATAATCTGGTAGTGTTACTATAAAAATGAGCAAGTAACCCATTCTACTCCTAACAGTTACTATGATCTAGAACAAACTTAAAATAATAAGAGGAATACAATATATATATAATATACCCAAATTTGTTTCAGTTTTCATTTGAATTAATTTGAGTTTAGTTTTGAAGCATCCTTCAAAATGAGACAAAAAAGAGTCATAAATTATTATTTTTTAGAATTAATGCAATAAGGGGACCATAATGAAAATAATTTTGTGCTATCACATGTCTTGACTTATTCATTCTCATGTATGTAATATATATATTTGTATAATACATGTGTTGTAATTGTTTATGTAGATGTATTCCTTACCGAAATAAATCTATCTAATGCAACCATTGAAGTCTATAGATATATCTTAGTATAAATAAAGTTATATTTATCCTGTCTGTGATGGTAAAATGAGCAGTACTAGCATATAATTATAGCTATTTATAACTTGTACATTTACATTAATCCTGTAATCCTAACAACTGTGGACGACTCTACCTAATTAGGCAAATGAAAGAAAATCATTACAGATATTTTGTGTACTGAATGTAAAGGTCACTGTGTCGGTTTTTATGCTTTCATATAGCTTGATTAAATCATGTTTCTTTTCCAGATCAGATCAATGTATTGCATGGTAGACGGCCATGATTGGATATACTAGTATACTGTAATACATATGTGACATATTTTTCAATGATTAAAGGAAAAGGAATATGTCTAGAGAAAATGTTGAACATAATTACTATCCATCAATAAATAATACTGTCCTAGAATATGAGTGTAGGTGATTGAAAAAAGTTGACTACAAATATCTAGGGCTGTGTTTAGAAACTGTATTGCAATACTTGTCGGCCATATTGATGCATCGGGAGGTACAATATGTATTGCAGTACTTGTCGCCCATATTGATGCATCAGGAGGTACAATATGTATTGCAGTACTTGTCGGCCATATTGATGCATCGGGAGGTACAATATGTATTGCAGTACTTGTCGGCCATATTGATGCATCGGGAGGTACAATATGTATTGCAGTACTTGTCGCCATATTGATGCATTGGGAGGTACAATATGTATTGCAGTACTTGTCGGCCATATTGATGCATCGGGAGGTACAATATGTATTGCAGTACTTGTCGGCCATATTGATGCATTGGGGAGGTACAATATGTATTGCAGTACTTGTCGGCCATATTGATGCATCGGGAGGTACAATATGTATTGCAGTACTTGTCGGCCATATTGATGCATCGGGAAGTACAATATGTATTGCAGTACTTGTCGGCCATATTGATGCATCGGGAGGTACAATATGTATTGCAGTACTTGTCGGCCATATTGATGCATCGGGAGGTACAATATGTATTGCAGTACTTGTCGGCCATATTGATGCATCGGGAGGTACAATATGTATTGCAGTACTTGTCGGCCATATTGATGCATCGGGAGGTACAATATGTATTGCAGTACTTGTCGGCCATATTGATGCATCGGAGGTACAATATGTATTGCAGTACTTGTCGGCCATATTGATGCATCGTGAGGTACAATATGTATTGCATTGTGATGTATTGCATGTTTTAATTTTATTTATACATCGGTGACCTGGGCAGATAGCGATGAATAGTTACACCTCTACAGGTATCATTATTGCTGATGTTGTATTAATGTGGTGTTTATTTTTTGTTTGTTTCAGAGCAAATCAAAGAGTCTCCCGAATACAGAGAACGGTTTGCACCCGGAGACAAATGCCAGGTTAGTTTTTAGCTATATTCCAGCTTAAAGTGATCAAACATCCGCTTGTTTGAGATCTGCTGATGTCCTTTTGCATGTAATCTGTCTATATCTTCCAACAGCATCTGATGAATTTTAGCTTGTCTGTTTCAAAGAAAAAGTCGTGCTATTATGATCACTGCTGCATCGTCATTATGCAAAAACTTTAATGGCCCATTATTCAAACATTTAAAAAAAAAACTTGCTCATCATGACAAGGTGCAGTTATTAGATAAGGGGCATAACTCTGAAAGCAATATTTTTTGAGTTAAGCCCCCTTTTTAATTTGGAATTTTTGACAGACGAGCGTTGACACAGCATGCTGTGCCCTTGTTTAATCTTTCTAACTTCTTGGTAGAGAAAATTGTTTGTTTACTATGGAATGTTCCAAAATAAGATTATTGTAGTATAATATTGAAGACTATTGCAAAGAGAAATTTAATGTTTCTATTGTTTATCAAACTCCTATATTCTCATGTATTGATCTCGGTTTAATATGCAGGGAACAAAACCTAATGCTTGTGCAAGAAAATGATTCAAAATCAATGTGCTATTCTGTACATGAACTTGCAGTTTTCCACATGATCTTTCTTAATGCAAATTGATCTGGAGGATATGTTATGATATAGTTAAGGTTTAAAAGATATCATAAAAATAATTATTATATAATATATTATAAGGATTGTAAGTATCTACTGACAAATTGAAATTACCTTTGATGGTCAGATACTATTGGATTATACACTCAAAAAGTTGTAAGTTAGTTTAATTCTTGCAGCTAAGATTCTACCTTTTTTCTGTGTTCCCTCTTCAAAGTAGTGGCAACATACAGGGATTACTTCTCCGTCCTCTGTCCTTCCGTCACAAAACTTGTCTGTAATATCCCGGCACAATTTTATGCAAACTTTAGAATGATCAGTTCCAAGCCTAGTTGTAAGAGTTATGGCCCTTGAATTATTTATGTTTATTAAAGTTATGTCTGTACTGTTGTAATGACCTCTCTTTTACCAGTAATGCAATTTGAGTGAAACTTTATATGATTGAGCTATACCTCACGTTCTTGTAATAAAAGATTTATGTTCTAGATATTATAAGTCAATACCATTATCTACTTTCTTTTGTCCTGACTATTTTGCCCTGTATTCAACTTAGGGGTTACAAACTGGCGCATGCCATTCAATACATTATCATGTAGATCTGATGATTGTCCTATCATGTAACAAGGTTTTTATATTGAATGACAATCAACTTGTAATATGTAGGATGTTTTTTTCTCTGTCTTTCACATTCCATTAAAAACAGAAGGTCCAAAATGCTTATGAAAAATTTGTATTGAATTGAAAAAGTCAGTGTCTGATTTAAAATCAAAATAATTAAGGCTATGTTACATGGATGATATTTGCAAAATGTTTGTAATCTATTAATTTTGCAAGTACAAAATGTATGAATAAAGGTACCAAAGCCTCCATCTTTTTAGCTCACCTGTCACAAAGTGACAGGGTGAGCTTTTGTGATCGCTTTTCGTCCGGCGTCCGTCCGTCGTCCGTCCGTCCGTCCGTCCGTAAACTTTTACTTTAAATGACATCTCCTCATAAACCACTAAGCCAATTTCATCCAAACTTCACAGGAATGTTCCTTTGGTAGTCACCTTTAAAAATTGTTCAAAGAATTTAATTCCATGCAGAACTCTGGTTGCCATGGCAACCGAAAGAAAAAACTTTAAATATCTTCTTTTAAAAAACCATAAGAGCTAGAGCTTAGATATTTGGCATGAAACATCTTCTAGTGAGTGTCTACCAAGTTTGTTCAAATAAAAGCCCTGGGGTCAAAATTGGCCCTGCCCCGGGGGTCATTGATTTTCCCTATATACATATAGTAAAAACTTAAAAAATCTTCTTTAAAAGAACCAAAAGAGCTACAGCTAAGATATTTAGCATGAAACATGTTCTAAATGGGTGTCTACCAAGTTTGTTCAAATAAAAGCCCTGGGTCAAAATTGGCCCCACCCCGGGGGTCATTGATTTTCCCTATATGCATATAGTAAAAACTTAAAAAATCTTTATTTAAAGAACTCAAAGAGCTATGGCTAAGATATTTAGCATCAAACATGTTCTAATAGGTGTCTACCAAGTTTGTTCAAATAAAAGCCCTGGGGTCAAAATTGGCCCCGCCCCAGGGGGTCATTGATTTTCCCTATATGCATATAGTAAAAACTTAAAAAAATCTTCTTTTAAAGAACCAAAAGAGTTAAAGCTAAGATATTTAGCATGAAACATGTTCTAATAAGTGTCTACCAAGTTTGTTCAAATAAAAGACCTGGGGTCAAAATTGGCCCCGCCCCGGGGTCATTGATTTTCTTTTTATGTGTATAGCAAAAACTTAAAAATCTTCTTTGAGAAAACCCAAATAGCTAGAGTTTAGATATTAAGCATGAAACATCTTCTAGTAAGTGTCTACAAAGTTTGTTCAAATAAAAGCCCTGGGGTCAAAACTGGCCCGGCCCCAGGGGTGTCATTGTTTTTAACTATATGTGTATAGTAAAAACTTTAAAAAAATCTTCTTTCAATAAAGCCCAATGAGCTAGAGCTTAGATGTTTAGCATGAAACATCTTCTTATGGGTGTCTACCGAGTTTGTGCAAATAAAAGCCCTTGGGTTAAATTGGCCCTGCAACGTTGGGGGGGGGGGGGGGTGGGGGGCCTATATACAGGTGAGCGACCTCAGGGCCATCATGGCCCTCTTGTTTAGTTTGTTGAAAATTGTGTATGTCTCTTTAAAGTGTACTGCAAAAATTTTAAATTTTAAAAAAGAATACTTACACAATGCTTGTATGGAAGAAAGATGGTAGGAAAAAGCCTTAAAAGCAAATGGGGCATTCAGGAAATCATTGCTAAATGGTTAAATTCCTATTAAAGAAGCAGAATAATATTTTGTTCCAGAACATTTTATTCCGTTTATGTACAAAATTTATGTGTTAAATAAAAGAGCCATTTTTGTAAAACAACTCTTTCAAGACTCAACCATTATACAATATGAGCTGCGTCATGACAAAACCAACATAGTGCGTTTGCGACCAGCATGGATACAGACCAGCCTGCACATCCACGCAGTCTGATCAGGATCCATTCTGTTCGTTTACCAAGCCTATTACAAGTAGAGAAACTGATAGCAAACAGCATGGATCCTGATCAGACTGCGCAGATGCGCAGGCTGGTCTGTATCCATGCTGGTCGCAAATGCACTATGTTGGTTTTGTCGTGACCCAGCTCATATAATGTTACTGTTAATAAAATTTATATAAATATGTTATAAGATACAGCTTTATACCCTTGAACAGTTTGTCTGCTATCAAAAGTAATGTGTAAATTATTGTTTTGTTTTGGATTGACTTGTGGAATGACTTGTATTTACCACAGTAAAATATTTATAATTGGCAGCCCTGAATTTAAATTATGTTCACAAGCATAGCCATATTAAATTTTATTATCAATTCTGTTCACTAGTAACCTCTGGTATTGTGTAGAGCATAGGTATTGTATATAGCATAATTCACTTGCCAAACATAGGGTCAATATCATGCTTAAAATCTTCAGACATTCATGGCTTCACTGAGTATAAATTAAAAGATAAATTTAACTTTAGTCCATTAAACTGACGTGAATGCATTTTGTGGGAGACTCATTCAGATGGAACAGCTTCAGAATTAATATTTTCATACTAAATATCATATATGCATAAACCTCAGCAAAATGCTTTTAGTCAAATTTGTTGAATTTTTTAATGAATTGTAAATTTTAGCTGTTCTTACTTGATTGATCATGCATATTGTGATGTTATCTCCCTGTGTCAGAACTCTGGTGGTATCAATACAAGTGTTGACTTATCTGAACCGATGTGCTATTGCCAACAACAAATTATTTATCATAATAAACAAATCATTTATGTTAAATAGTTTGGTTTCAGCTTTAAAAGATGTCTTACATTTTAATTCACTAACAGTAAAAATATCTTGATATGATCCACTTTTTGTGTTACCGTATATAAGTGTCAGATTTAGAGTGTTCAAAACAGACGTCTTACATTTTTATTCAGTCACAATTATCTGAAACTAGAAAAGTGTGAAACAAAAATTGTAATAAGATTTGACATTATCCACTTTTTGTTTGTTATATTGTCTGATGTAGAATGAGGTAACAGAGAGTATTTGACATTGTTATGTCAATTGGTTATAATGCAATTAAAAGTAAAAGTGCCCATAGTATGTTGCTATAACAAGTGTTCAAAATTAACGAGAGTGCATAATATTGCTTGCCACCTTATCAGTACTCTGACTTTTCTCTTATAAATGGCCGGCTTTGATTCAAGCAATGATACAAGTTAAAATATTTAGGCTACCAAGAAGGGTGCAGTGATGAGAAGTGACTTGTGCTTGTACTGGCAAGACATGGTTCATATTGAATTGTATAGGCTCGCAAGACAGGGTACAGTGATTATGTTTATATACTGTGTTATTGAAAGGATTATAATTGATACATCCTATTAGGCATGAATTTGTAAAAAAAATTCACCTTTAAAGCAATACGCATCCAATGCATCCAGATTCATGCTAATTTTCATGAAAACATATTTTCACTTGTAAAAATTCTCTAGTATCTTAGTACTTTGTTTCTTCCTTTTTGGACCAATAACTTAGGGAGGAATAAGTCCTGTTTATTTAACTTGGAAGACACTGTTCCCATGTCCAGTAGATGACCATTGTTTTTGTGGTCAAAGATTAAGTGAAACCTACTGCTTTGACATTAATATATTGTTTGACCAATTACTAGAGAAGCTTTGGTCTACAGCATTAAGATTTAAAGTAGAAGTTGATAACGTGGATTGATTTTATGATCAATAGGTCATTGTCACTGTGGCCTTGACCACTAAAAGCTTGCCTGACCATTAACCTGAAAATGCTTTGGTCTACAGTCTTTTGATTTGGTGTAGAGGTTGTTCATGGTTCATGACTAGAAGATTGCTGTTTTGGTTTTAAGGTTAAATGTCAAGTTCACTGTGACCTTAACCACTTAAAACTTGTTCAACCAATAACCAGAGAGCATTTTGACCTAGTAGTTCTAAGATTTAGTCTGGAGGTTGGTCATGACTAGTAGATGGCCGCTTTTGATTTTGAGGTCACAGTGATGCATCAAATAATACTGTTTGATCAAGAATAGTAAGTCACGCAGTATAAATACTGTTTGTGAAACACATAATACTGTTATTTCAAAGTATTTGTTATAATAATGTTATTACAAATGAATGCATTATATAATTATAACTTTTTAACATAACACTTTACTTTTATAAGATATGATTTGCATCTGTGACAGCAAATGAAGCTGGGGGTACATACGTGTCCTATAGACATATTTCATTTAGTTTAAACATTCATTTTAACCCTCACTCAGCTTGAAATGAAAGAGATAAGCCTCTCTTCCATTATAGACCCAGGTCAACCTGCTCAGAGCATAAATTGAGACTTGTTACTTTAAGTTTTTTACATTATGAACTCTTTAGGAACTGATATCAATTCTGTTAGTAACTAGTATAACATAACTCCTTTATAATGAACTGATTCAACTATCAAGTTTAAAATAGGGCAAATCCATAAACAAATTTAGCAGGAAAACTGTTAAAAGGGCTGTAGGATTTTTGAAAGGCTATAAATTGCATTCTTATGTTTGTTTAAGCCTCTTGCATCTTGCCTCTTAAATATCAAAATGTTTATCACTTTTTGTACATTTCAACACCTTCACTTTTGTACAAGTTTGTTTGATAAGGCACATTAAATTTGCCTTAAGAAAAGTGTCTATCATTGCTTGGATACTCTCTAAAGCTTTTAAACAGTGTGCTGAAAATAATGGTGTTTACAAAATCACTGTCTATGGTGCAAGCATTATGTAAGAATTGCAGAAAAAGGTAAAATATTAGACAGTTTGGTGCCTGAAAAAGATGTAAAGAAATTACCTTGATACATAATTAAAGGTGAAGAATGTAGTTTTAAAACATAAATTTACGCATAATAAAAACAATCTATGGATAATAGAGCTTGACTCCACCTTAAATTTACAATCATATCAAGATATGATTTTCCTTTCATGTTTATCATGTACCGTAACATTTGAATATTTGGTCATGATAGCAAGTGAAGTAAGTGGTTTACATAAAATTATCATGATTTTGAAATGTATTCTTCTCCTCCATACACTATAAGGTTCATGTGAGACTGTATTCAAAACCTCCCCAATTTACATTTCTTTAGTTGTCAGTGTAAAAACATTTCCTGTAAGGACATGAACATTATATGTAGGTGAAAATGACAAACATTTAATGTGAGGGGTACTTAAGGATCTGAGTAGTCTTAATTGAATTTAAATTAGGTTGTCATAGTGCTTTAATGGACTAAACCAATGTCCTGCTGACTGGCTTTGATAAGTGTGTCAATTATGTTAATGACAGTTTGAAGCTCATTAAGATGTTTTGAATGCTTGCTCTGCATGAAATATCATAAGATTCTATTGTGATTTAAAATATTTGATCTTGAGTAAAACATATTCATCATAATTTTATGCTGATACAAATAATATTTACTGTCTTGTAAATATAAATAAGGCTTATTTTAATCACTTTCTGTCTTTAAAAAATTCAAATATGGTAATTATTTCTTTTAACTGTCTTATGAATTAATTAAGCTGACTTTGTCCTCTGTCAGACTTGTCAGTCAGGTTTGCAACAGTTTCCAGGAAGTCTGGTGTGTTTTGTCTATGTCTTCTAAAAGTGTAAAAAGTTCATCATTTTGCTGTCCTTGAATAGTCAAATATTATTTTGCTTTTTAACAAGAAGTACTGTAGGTCTTCTATGAACAATATGTTAAACCAGAGAGTTGTCTTAATGTTCATTACAGTGTTGGTTTTTACTTAATACTGAATAAGATATCAAAATAGTTTATCATACTGTCTAATCTAGAAAAGAAGTCATGATATTTTATGTACTATAAAAATTATATATCTCACTATGGTAGGGAATTCTGTATAATGTCTGCATCTGATTAATGGGCAATACTTGAATAATTAGAGTACCTGTGAATATTGTAATTACATGTTGATGTGATGTGCATGATAACTTACTTTTCATGTAGAAAATGGTGTCTCTTGCTTTGATATTCATTATCTGATGAATACCTTTTCTTGTAAGATACTAAGATTTTAAATGTCAAATCTAGTGAGGCAGAAATTCTGAGGTAAAAACTGTTACCTTTTGAAAGTGTCAAAAGCAAAATGTTCTGTTGTTTTTTTGTGTGCACATTTTGCTTCAAATGCACTTTCAAAAATTAGGATAAGAATTTTAAACTTTATAAGTTCCTTGATGAAATGCTGATTAAATGAAAATATTATGTGGAAATTTGCCAGTTGTGCAAACGTGATCCACTGTAGGTGAAATATGCTGTGAGGTTACAATTCAATTTAAACTCATAACTGTTATTGCAAGAAAGGTTCAATTGAATTATTTAGGCTCCCAAGAAAGGAACAGTGATCGGAAGTAACATGTGCCAGGGTACACATTGAATTGTATAGGCTTACAAGACTATGTAATTACTAATTATCTTTTATATTTCTTACTTTTGTGGATTCCTACAGTATTAGAACTGTGAATTTGACATTTGATATATTTTTACTAGGTATGTACATAAGAATTATAAATTTACATTATAAAAATGCACACAAATGGATTTGATTCTGTAATAAGTGAGCTTGAGGAAATCTGCTTTAGAAATCTAATGTGAGTTTAAGGGGCTGCATGGCTGAGTGGTTATTGCGCTGGACTTGTTTGATTGCAAGCTGAGAAGATGAGGTGGAATAATCTGTTCTTGCATTATTATAATAGTGACCAAAAATAATAATGCAATTTGTTCAACAGAATTTTTGTGCCTGTCACTAAAATGAATGCATAAGAAGAAATTAATACTGAATATTTGATGTATATATTTCAAAGTAAAATGTAACTTAAAATATATAAATGAGGTGAACATTGGTAATGAGTAAACATTTCTTTTATAAAACTTAACTAGAGTGATTATTGGGATATTTTGTATTTAAAGAACTAATAACTAACTAACTTACTTAGAACTAACTAAAAGATCTAATTTGAATATAAAGGTAAATAAATTATTTTATATATTTCAGGTGATATTAGAAGGTGAACATTATCATGGGCATATACAGGAAATAAGTGCTGAAGATAATACTGCAGTTGTTTTCATTCATGAACTTGGAGAAAAGTAAGTTTTTTACTTCCAGACTGGAAAATCGGCTGCCGCTGTGGTGTAAACGGTCTCCTACCAAACCTTATATTCATAAAGTCTACAATGGACCATTGAGCTACTGTTCATTTCATACAGTTATGAAAATGACAGGAATATGCCGTATGTTTAGAGGTCCATACAAATGTTGAATTGTTCATGTGTTCATATAACATCTAAGTACTTGTACATTTTGAAATTTCTAAAACTAATTCATATCTTGATATAGAAAATACCTTATTTTGTTTTCAATATATATTTTTTACCAGAATATACTTGTGAATTTTTAGAGGTCTCATAAAAAATAAAGCTCTTCTAAAAAGTAATGCTGAGAAATCGTTTCTGTATTTTTATATTAGCTATTTAGCATCTTTGGAAACCTGTAAAATCAATATAAAATTAATACATTGAATTTCAGAACATTATTGGTTATAAGTATGTATATATTTTTCTGTTAATAGGAAATCTGTGTTAATCAGCTGTTTGAAGACCCCTCCTTCACCTAGATATAGCTGTTTGTCTCATTCTAAATACTTAAAGAGGAAACAGGTAATTTATTCTTATATACTTATTATATTTCAACGATCAGCAACCCATACCATTTAATGTAGGGTAGGTATAGTTAAATAAACTTTTTATTATCCAAATTTTTTTTTCTGTTGAACATGATTATTCTTTATATGTATAAGTTATATGCATTTAAAAATATCATAGGATGGTGTTTTTTATTCGAGTTTAGACCCAAATTTTTTTAATCTATCTCAGTATATATTTAAGAGACTGGTATAAAGATGAAATTCTCACAAATCATTGACAGACTTACGATCAATGTTTATTTCAAAAGAGACAATTTGTTTGGCAACATAAAAAATTTTGAACAATTTTTTATTTTAGGCCTTATATTTATTTTTGAAATCCCATATTCTGATAACTAAAAATCTATCTCACATTTTGTCTGTAAGAAAGTAACTAGCATACCAAGAGGTTTGAACATTTTGGTTTACTGATCTTCCATGAGGGCCTGGCAAAAACTTATTTCATCATAGCATAATTTTATAAAATACAATCAATATTTAAACAAAATGTTAACCCAAAATATTATATCTATACGACAGAGCCGGAAAACTTATTGTTTTACTATGAATTTGCGAGTATTATAATGAAAAAATAGTAATTTTATTAAGGAAAATAGGTCTTTTTAGTGAAGGTGATTTTTAAGTAGAATATAACATTCATATAGGTTCATTACTAAATATATTGAACTAGTTGAATAAAACAATATTATGCTCCCCAGAGGCTCGGATCATATAATTTCATTAAATTAAGTTTTGAACCTTAAACACTCATTCAATATCTCCTATTAACTGGCTTTTTTGTACTCCTACAAGAAGTACAAACTTCATGTATATATATATATATCAAATAGCTATAAATTACAAAGGTAAGTTGTGAAATACAAGCTGGACAAAAAGTGTAACCTGGCAGGAAATTGTATTGGTGCAGTATTTCAGTATTGATTGGGTTAATTATGATCAAGTTGGGTCTTTTTGCAATTACATTTTATGACCAGATGTTGCTATGAACCACAGCAACAGTCACCTACATAGTGACTCTTTTCTCTTCTTTTCTTCATAATAAAAACCAATTACTTTGTGTGGATTGAAGTGAAAATGTCCTGGGTCACTTACAGATGAGTTCATTTGCATTATTATACATGCATATTTCAGCTAGTATGGAATACACCCTCTTTACATCTTTGAGTTCTGTCACAAAAAAGAAACAGTAATAGTTTTAGATTTTGTAAAACAGTACAGTATCATAACCTTATGATTTCTGTATAATATAATATATTGATATGTTGTTACTGTAGTTACCTTAGTTCTTTTATTTTCCAGCAATTTGTCATTTAAAGAGAAGAAAGCTTACTGTCAATTATTTATTTTACTGATATTAAGTTATTTATCTTACTTTAAAGGGACTCCACTTAGGTTTTTTTGACATAACAGGACTGTAAATAAATTTTAGAGATTTATGTTCTATTTGATGAAGGTCTAGACAAATAACTTGCATGTAAAATTTCAGATCAGTCCTTCACTCTGAATTTCCAGAATGACTATATTAATTGTAAAAAAAATTACCCAAAATTGAAAAGGTTTGCAAATCCATCTAATAATAGCACAAAAATATGATTTTCAATTTATTTCCAAGTATATATCTCAATTATCTTGTGCATTTTGTTATGTTTAAGTTTTGCAGCTGATCTATGTAAGAAATTTAAACTACACCGTTTTTAGGCTTTTTGACCTAAGTGTACTTCCTTTAAAATACATATTGTTATAATTTTAAGTTAATAATATATAGCAATAACTTTATGTAATGGATGGTAACACATTTTATACTTCTTTGTACTGTCAGAATAACACAGTCTGTGGATAGGTTGTACTGATTTTCACAATGAAAACAAACCCAGAATTATCAAATTTTGAATTAAAAATTAATTAATAAATGGAACATCAAAGCATCGTTTACATTGAGTTTTACATTATTTTAATTAGATGATCTGATACACAGGCTGGTTTGTAGCAACATGTTCATATCTGTAATAAATCATCAAAATAATTTTGTATGCATTTGTCAATATTGGTTTAAGAATGAGAGCAATGTGACACCCCTATTTAAGATCCCTATCATTTTATCTAAATGGACATTGTCAACATATTTACAAATAATAAAATTCTAATTTATTACCAATTACATTTTGCTTTATTAGTTGTTTCTATTTTAATCTGATACAAATTTTATGTACAGTAATGGCTATAGGGCATTTTTTTTAACCTGTCCCGAGATGGCTTTTATATCAAATGAAATATCTATCACTGCAAATGTAAATTAATTAGATTTCAATTATCTAAGAACAATTTAACAGGCTATTAATTAGATTTAAAGGTTTGAACTGAAAGCATTTGATTTGTAAGTCCAGATTTCAGATTTGGAACCATCCAGTGCTACACCCAGAAACATATTAATGAGATAATATCAGAGAATAAGCATTAGAATTGAAATTTAAGAAAGTGACTTATTTGGCAACCTTTGATATGTCATTTGAACATAACCCTTAATGGGGTGAAGCTAACCATTTAAGGGAATGTTAATGTCATTTATTTTTTGGTTATGATGGTTTTTACTTAAAGGATAATATAAAAAATGTTTTTAATAGGTCACTAATGATCAGTATAATGGTTATAATTATAAGATTAAATTGATGAAAGTAATTGGATTTTTTTTTAGGTAGCTGTGACATGAAATAATTCATCAAAATGAGTTATGTATAAATTTGATAAAAGAGTAAAAAGCATTTCTCTGCCATGTTCTCATCATATCTGTACTGTTTTTAAGCCAGAGATTAATGAGGCTTTTCTTTTCACCTTGACATTAAGTGTTGACATTACACTTGATAAAAGTTTTGCTGATTGTAATATTCTCATTAACGAAAGTTGCTCCTTTTAAATTTTATATTATGTCGTTTAAAAACATAATTATTGTAAAGTCATTAAGTTGTCTACTTTAGATTTTACATATGTCATTGAAATTATAATTGTAAAAATCGATTGAAAGTTGACTGAGAAAATTTCTGGTTGCTGTATTGCATGCATTTTTGCAGTGGAGGTTTTTATTAGAAACGTCATAAATCTTTTTGTGCCCCCACGTTAGTGGCGGGCATTTAGATTTACCCTTGTCCGTCTGTCCGTCTGTCCGAGCTCACTGAAATGACGATGTGGGGTGAATATCCATGTTCAATCCGTATAGACGGTACTTGTGATGAAAAACGTTGCTTATGGGGTGCAAATACGTTGCTTATGTGGTTTTAGAGATCAAAGGAGATCAAAGAAAAAACCCCATAATGTCAACTCAGTAGGAACGTCCGTCCGTCCTTCCGTCCGTCCTTCCGTCTGTTCACTTATAATTTGTGTCGCACGTAACTCAAAAAGTATTTGACCTAGAGTCATGACACTTTACAGGAATGTTGATCAGCATGTGTAGTTGTGCACCTGGGTATTTTCGTCTGGATATTTTTAGTATTTTCAGAGTTATTGCCCTTGACTTAGTAAAATTTTGCAATTTTCTACTTGTGTCGCATGTAACTCAAAAAGTATTTGACCTAGAGTCATGAAACTTTACAGGAATGTTGATCAGCATGTGTTGTTGTGCACCTGGGTATTTTCGTCTGGATATTTTTAGTATTTTCAGTTATTGCCCTTGACTTAGTAAAATTTTGCAATTTTCAACTTGTGTCGCATGTAACTCAAAAAGTATTTGACCGAGAGTCATGAAACTTTACAGAAATGTTGATCAGCATGTGTAGTTGTGCACCTGGGTATTTTTGTCTGGATATTTTCAGTATTTGTAGAGTTACAGCCCTTGACTTAGTAAAATTTTGCAATTTTCAACTTGTGTCGCATGTAACTCAAAAAGTATTTGACCTAGAGTGATGAAACTTTACAGGAATGTTGATCAGCATGTGTAGTTGTGCACCTGGGTATTTTCGTCTGGATATTTTTAGTATTTTCAGAGTTATTGCCCTTGACTTAGTAAAATTTTGCAATTTTCAACTTGTGTCGCATGTAACTCAAAAAGTATTTGACCTAGAGTCATGAAACTTTACAGGAATGTTGATCAGCATGTGCAGTTGTGCATCAGAAATTTTCGTCTGGATTTATTTAGAAATTTTTAGAGTTATTGCCCTTCACTTAGAAATTTTTTGCAATTTTCAACTTGTGTCGCAAGTTACTCAAAAAGGATTTGACATAGTCATTAAACCTTATGGGCAGGTTGCTCAGCATATTTAGATTTGCACCTTGGGTTTCGCTTGTGGATTTATCCAGTATTTGTAGAGTTATTTCCCTTGACTTAGTAAAAAGATTGACAGAACAGTGGCGCGATGGGGGCACCCGTTCTCTATGGACACATTTCTAGTTTGTATTAATTATAGTAGGTCACTGGCCAAGATCGCTAACTATATCATAAAGTTTTACTAAAATTATCCCCCTTAGAAACTTGAAAGTTTTCTCCTTGACCACCAATGTACTATCAAACTGGTGAAATGAACATGTATGTTACAGTCAGTTTTATATAAAGTCTCATAATTATGAAATGCATGGCTTAAAAATTTTGGATTTAATTGCGTAAGAATATTGGCCCAGAGTTAATGTAAAATATCTTCATATACATTCCATAGTATTTTACCTTTATCAATGAAAATTGTGAATTGCATCAAACTAATGGGACATGAAATTCATCCATATAGTGAAATTGTCCCATACTATGTCATAGTCATCAGATATTTGTAACAAAAAATCCTACTCCATATTGTGTGATAGATTAATAAAAAGTTGGAAAAATAAAACAGAATTTTATGGAACCACAATCATAGAAATATTTTTATGATAAAACCTTTCCTATCTCATCCACCTGGGTTTTAATGTAAAAAAAATCATAATATTTTAACTGTTTTGTTGTAATGTTGCAATATATATATATTTAATAACACA